AGTGGCACTGTGGCTCAAGTGGTAGAGTGCTAGCCTTGAGCTGAAGAGCTGAGGGACAGCGCCCAGGCCCAGAGTTCAGGCCCCACAACCGGACCCAAAAATAAATAGTAAATAAATAAATAATAAAAACATTGCCAGCTGGGTGGTAGTGGCTCATATCTGTAATCCTAGCTACTCAGGAGACTAAGATCTGAGGATTTCAGTTCAAAGCCAGCCCTGGCAGAGAAGTCTATTAGACTCTTATCTCCAATTAACCAGCAAAAGTCAGAAGTAGATGTATTACTTGAGTGGTAGAGCAACAGCCTTGAGTGAAAAAAATCCAAGCAAGAGCTCAAGGCTCGGGCTGGGAAGATGGCTCAGTGGTGGAGTGCTTGCCTTGCATGCATGAGGCCCTGGGTTCGATTCCTCAGCACCACATAAGCAAAAGAAAAAAAGCCAGAAGTGGCGCTGTGGCTCAAGTGGTAGAGTGCTAGCCTTGAGCTGAAGAGCTCAAGGACAGCACCCAGGCCCAGAGTTCAGGCTCCACAACCGGACCCCAAAAAAAAAAAGGTCAAGGACAGTACCCAGGCCCCGAGTTGTAACTCCACATTCAACCATTAAAAAAAAGAAAAGTGCTGGCCCAAAAATATAAATTACCAAAGCAAACAAAAATATACCTAAAACTTTCGCAGGGAATATGAACAAAATGGGGAGAAACCTTATGCCACCACACACCTGTTCAGTTACACATCTCCAGTAGGTCATTGGTGTATACCTACAATGTGAGACCGCTAGTTTCTCCCTGGGTGGTGTTTTTTTTTTCTTTTTAATGTGAATTTTGTTAAAGAAATAGTCATAATTAAATCATAAGTAAATGCAGGCTTGTTACATTTTAGTGCTCAATCACAAAAAGAAAAGGAAAAAAAAATAAAGCTAAAGTTCCTTGAGTCACTACAGTGTTAGCCTACCTCAGTTTCACTTGACCGAGGAAAGAAATAGACCCGACATGAGTTTATGATGGGATCAACAGAAGACGAAATGATAACTCTACATTTTCAGGCTCTCACACTACCCACAAACAAGATTGTTTCGGTCTCAAAAAGCCTAAATACGGGGAAGGAAGTTCAACTTTCACACCTGTCCCTTTCGGATTATGGGTGGGGTAGCTAGGGCTCTGGGGAAAAGCAGGCTTCGGGTGAAGTGGTTGAGAAATCAGGCTGGAAATCCAGGAAGAGGTCTGGAAGTGGGAGTGAAGCGTTTCAACCTGCTGCCGGGTGGAAGGGACGAAGAAGGTCCAGGCTAACAGGGGGGGAACTTCTGTCGTGGGAACGAAAGAGAAAGAGCATTTACAGGTTGGGGGGACAGAGGGGCAGCGGGGACCAGAAGGGAAACAACGCCGTCGCTCGCGGGCGGGCAGAGCCGGAGGTACCCCTTACAGACCGGAGCCCACCGGTGGGGAAGCCTCACCTGCCAGTACCACGGAGAAAGACAGAAGGCGAAGAAGACCCCGACTTCCTGGGTGAGCCCCTGAGCCGCCCCCAGCCGTGGCCATCTTGACGCTCCGCTGGGCGGAAGTCTCAGTTCTCCCCCAAGTCCAGCAGCGGCCTCTCTAGGATTCCACCAGCGCCGTCTCTGTGGCTTCTAGCTGTAAAGACCGGAAGTCTTTGTCCGAGTCGCTTCCGGGTGCCGAGGCTCTCGGTCGCTGACGTGGAAGCGCCTCGGAGGCCTGCGGGGAGTGGTGTGTAGCTGGTGGTCTTCGAGCGCCGGAGCCCGGAGGACTGAACGATGCTCACCAAATTCGAGACCAAGAGCGCGCGGGTCAAAGGTAGTGCAGCTGAAAAAGGGAAACTTGGAGGTTGTCTGTCTGGGGCGGCCCTGTCACCGGGAGAGAGAATGGATGGATTTAACGGGCAGAACTGGGCCCGGAGGACCAGCCGAGGGAAAGACGCGAGGAAGAGAGGGAGGGAGGGAGGGAGGGAGGGAAGTAAGTTAGGGTTAGTGGTCGTCGCTGCGGTCCTCTCCCGTGTGTGCTTGGGAGCTTTGATGGACCCGTGTAGTGATAGCTGCACCGCCGCGGATCCGTAGGCCCGCTTCCTATTCTTTTCCTTCCTCTCTCCTCTCTTGGGAGCACACGACTTTTTTTTTTTTTTTCCTATTCCCACTGTCCGTGACCTATTGGGTGTCTATAATGAACGGCCCTGAGCAGTTGAGTGTCAACCTGTGTCACAGAGATTAACACAGGCAGGAGGCATATCTCATAGTGAGACCCTGCCTCAAAAAACAGACAGACAAAAACAAAACAGAGCGTTTCAGGTGTTTTTTTTTCTTCCCTCCAGTTTTTGGCCTTCAGAAAAAACTAATGAAGATACTTCTACACACAGTCTAGGCAGTTAGACTTCAGACCTGAAATGGGATGGATCAAAAATACAATACGTACATTTACCCCTCTGATAGATACCTAAATGTAAAACCACTGTCAACATACAGTCTCACCAAGTTTTTTATACACTTTGTTCAGGCAAACTAACACAGAACATAATCAATTGTTTTGCTTTATGAATCTAAGAGCTCACCTTTATTTTGCATTTATTTGCCTATTTGGCTCTATGATAACACTCTTTTATATGAACCCTCAAGTATTCTGACATCTTTTTTCCTCCTTTCTAAATTAGACAAGAACTCAAGGAAAACAAAGACTCCTTTCCACATCCAGGTCCCAGAAATCCTTAATCGTATTTTTTATGAGTAAGATTCTCATGAGATTTGGGAACATCAAAATATAATCTCATAGTAATAATATTTTCCAGGTTTTGACTAAGAATCTAGTCAGGCACTGTAGTATAAAAACTTGGGGGGCTGGGACGGTGGCTCAGTGGTAGAGCGCTTGCCTTACATGCCTGAGGCCCTGGGTTCGATTCCTCAGCACCACATAAAAAGAAAAAGCTGGAAGTGGCACTGTGGCTCAAGTGGTAGAGTGCTAGCCTTGAGCTGAAGAGCTCAAGGACAGCACCCAGGCCCAGAGTTCAGGCTCCACAACCGGAAAAAAAAAAAAAAAAAAAGAGCTCAAGCCTGTGAATTCAAGCTTCAGTACAGCACAAATAAATAACACTTTATATAAAATTTCTCACCTTAATTCTCTCTATAAGAGAATGTTAATGATCATTTTAAAGAACAGAAAGTAGACATTTAGAGATGTTGCCTAAAATAGTTGATAGCATTCCAAAGCAAGCCACTTGGCTCCGCAGAATAAATTCTAAATCACTTTATTACTCAGATGTACTTTTCCCCCAGACTTCAGTAGACTGCCTATACTTTTCTCATTTTGACATTATCTTAGTCACTTGCCCTCTAAATGTTACTAAGAAGTTTTTTTTGTTATCTGAAGTTCAAATCTAATACAGACCATCCAGTATCTTACCTGGCAACTATCAATTTGAGACTTCAATGGGGCTTCAAGCTTCAAATATTTTATTCCCAAGCAGGCAATAAAGTCCAGTGGAAGCACTGGGTACTGAGATAGTGCTGAGTTGCGAGTGCTTGTTTCTAAAAAAGTGGCTGTGACAGAGCATCCTATAAACACCTCAGATAAGTATAACAGTAACAGTGGTTCTAAATTAGATCTAGAATAAAGGCTATTGTCAACCCACTATAACAAAACTTAAAACACGCTTCACACTGATCAGTAGAGTGAGTAACTTAACTTCATTCTAGAACAAAGGCCACACATTTAAAGGAATTCAAGCCTAGTAGCTAACTATAAATTTTACATCTGGCATCAAATGAAAAGTCATTAAGCGTATTGAATGAAAATGTGAAAATCTGTTTGTTTTTTTTTAATTGTAATTGATAGTGACATTGTGGGCCTTACTTAGTTTTAATTCATTGTATCACCTTCTGGTTTTCTTTTGTTTCACTCCCAGGGCTCAGTTTTCACCCCAAAAGACCCTGGATCTTGACCAGCTTACATAATGGAGTAATACAGTTATGGGACTATCGAATGTGCACCCTCATTGACAAGTTTGATGAACATGATGGTAAGATAGTTTCTAGAAGGGTGTAAATGAGATGGGGTGTTTACTGTCTCCTAGGACAGACTATCTTCTTGTCTGTTTAACAGGATTCCTTTAAGATTAAAGAATGTGAAAGAGGTAAAACTGAAAAATCCTGACTGAATCATCTTAAAAGATTAGAAAGAATAACTCCTTGTAACATGTGTTGCCTGCTTTTTCTTCCAGGTCCAGTGCGAGGCATTGACTTCCATAAACAGCAGCCACTGTTTGTCTCTGGAGGAGATGACTATAAGATTAAGGTACAGAGGGTCTGTCGTGATTGGGAATATCAGAACACAAGGGTGTGTTAAATTTAGGAATTATTGAAGGGACTGAAAGACAAGACAGCTCATTCATTCAGAGTTTAGGCTTTTTAACAACATTATCCAACAAATATGTTGAATACTGCTGTGTAAGTATGCATAGACTCTTTTCATTTCTGCAAATTCAAAAGATAAGTGATTTCTCAAGGAGCTCTTCTTCTAAAACAGAATGTCAATACATATCAAACAATAATAGCATGTACTCTGGGCGCCAGTGGCTCACACCTGTAATCATAGCTACTCAGGAGACTGAGTTCTGAGGATCACTGTTCAAAGCCAGCCTGGGCAGGAAAGTCTGTGAGACTTATCTCCAGTTAACCACCAGAAAAATGGAAGTAGTGCTATGGCTTAAGTGGTAGAATGCTTGCCTTGAGCTGAAGAGCTCAAGGACAGTGCCCAGCCCAGAGTTCAAGCCCCATGACGGACAAATAATAATAATGATGATGATGGCATATACAACTTGGTATTATATTAGGTATTCATAGTGAAACAAGAAAAGATAGTCCAGGTTCAGAAATGGGCATACAATTAAAAAACTCATTTTATGGAGATAACACTTGGAGAAAAGTTAGAGAAAAAGCAGAAGTTAAGAGGGGACAGATCATCAATATCTGCTTGCAGTACTCAGGAATTCTTCTCAGGCTTTCATACAAATATGGAATTCTTAGGAGGGTTTAAGTATATATAAGAATAAAGGGACTGGAGCTACTCCAGTCCTTTTATTATGAAATAACCTCCATATCTTCTTTCCCCCACATCTCCCACCTAGGTCCTTACTAAGCAAGCATTCTGTCAATGAGTACATCCCCAGTCCTAAATAAGATGATTTTCATATTTTTGCTTGAGTTCATGGGGTAGAAGAGTAGTTTTTTTTCTTAATGCTGAGGATTGAACTCAAGGCCTCTCATTCTAGGAAATTGCTGTAATAGGGATTTCATTAATTAGAAAAGGAAAATCAAGAGGATGTAGTATGAGTAGTAAATTTTATCTTGGCTCTGATGAATTTGAAGTAAACGAGACACAATCTAGTGGAAGCAATGTCAACAGGAAAGTGGTAACTTTAGTAGAAGATGTCATTCAGAAAGTAGGTTGAATAAAGAATACAGACTGTCTAAAGTTTAACTAGAATTACTGTAGGAAGGAGTGATTTGAGAGGCTGGAAGTAAACAAAAGAGAAGCAGCAACCTCTAGGATGCCAAGGAAGAAGAGAATTTGGGGAAAAGAAAGAGGTCAGGATAATAATGAAAAGTAACATTTAGATTGCCAATATATAAACTAAAGTTCTCATTGAAAAATCTGAGCCTTTATAAAGCCTAAGATCCTTTTTTTTTTGGGGGGGGGGGTCTGGTCGTGGGGCCTGAACTCTGGGCCTGGGCGCTGTCCCTCAGCTCTTCAGCTCAAGGCTAGCGCTCTACCACTTGAGCCACAGCGCCCCTTCTAGCTTTTTTCTTTTTGCTTATGTGGTGCTGAGGAATCGAACCCAGGGCCTCATGTATGCAAGGCAAGCGCTCTACCACTGAGCCACCTTCCCAGCCCAAAGCCTAAGATCCTTTTATCCTGTTTTTTAGTTGGATTTCTGTCTTTGCAGGTTTGGAATTACAAGCTTCGACGCTGTCTCTTCACATTGCTTGGACACTTGGATTATATTCGTACCACGTTTTTTCATCATGTAAGTAGCCAGAATGTCTCCTAGTTACCTGTGCTTTGGTAATAAGTTATATTTTTGGTATGACTCTCTTGGGATCTGTGGGATCTTTACTTTTCTGCATTGTTTCCTTCTGTTGAAGGGAGCACTCAGGACTACACTGAATTTCGCTTAATTGGGTTCAGTGGGCTATATAGGAAATCATTGTTTCTCTGTAGGGAAAAGAAATAATTTTTATTTCAGATTTTCTGAGCTACCAAACAAGTTTATGGGCGTATTCTATGTGGGTCATTATTAGTAAGTATTAAGTATGCCTGAAAGGTCAAACTAAGATACCATTTTAATTTTTTTTTTTTTTGGGTCCGGTCTTGGGGCCTGAACTCTGGGCCTGGGTGCTGTCCCTCAGCTCTTCAGCTCAAGGCTAGCGCTCTACCACTTGAGCCACAGCGCCCCTTCTAGCTTTTTTCTTTTTTGCTTATGTGGTGCTGAGGAATCGAACCCAGGGCCTCAGGCATGCAAGGCAAGTGCTCTACCACTGAGCCACCTTCCCAGCCCCTAGCAAGGCTTTTAGAACATGAACTTTTAATTGCTTTTCAGTTCTGTTCCCATTAAACCTGAATGACGAGTTTTGTTCTGGGACTGGAGCTCTACTAGAATTTTCTATGAACACCTTAAAAGATTTTTAAATGTGTCTTTTTAGGACACCCTTCTAAAATCTTGTCAGATGATTTCCAGTATAAATTACAAAGATTCTATTTATTTTCTTATTTTAATGTCTTTAATCTCAAAGGAGAGCTAAATAATCCCAGTTCTCCTGTAATTAATATTTAAATACTAAAATAGAGTCAAGAAGAGAAGAGCACTTTATTTCTAAACCAAGTAGCTTATTAATTCAGAACTGTTAGGATGACTTACATTTGCTTCCATAGTGGGGCTGGAAATTTGGCTTAGTGGTACAGTGCTTGACTAGCATGCATAAAGCCCTGGGTTCAATGCCTTAGTACCACATAAACAGAAAAAGCCAGGAATGGTGATGTGGCTCAAGTGGTAGAGTGCTAGCCTTGAGCAAAAGAAGCTCAGGGACAGTGCCCAGGCCCTGAGTTCAAGCCCCAGGACTGGCCAAAAAAAAAAAAAAAACCATAATTGGGTAAGTATCTAATGAATATAAAGAAAGGTAAAGATGGGTGGCAGTGACGACTCAGACCTGTAACCCCACCTACTTGGGAAGTAGAGATTGGGAAGATCACAGTTCAAGGCTAGCCTAGAAAGAAAAAAATTAATGACAATCTAATTTGTTGAATTGAAACCCCTTTGTATATAATAATTATATGTATACATACATATATATATATACACACACACACACATTTTTTTTTTAAGGTAAGGTAAACTCATCTCAACAAATAAGCTGGATGTGGTAGCACATCCCTATCTAGCTCCATGAGAGGCCAGCCCCAGGCCATTCTCTACCCCCCCAAAAAAAAACTTAAATAACTAAAGCAAAAAAGAGCTAGGCGTATGACTCAGGAGTCTAGCAAAAAAGGATTGAGTTGAAACCCTAGTTGTCAGTTGATTTCTGTATATAATTTAATAGTTTCTTCTTTTTTTTTCCTCTACAGTGTGTTAACAGGCCACAATCATTATGTAATGTGTGCTCAGTTCCATCCCTCCGAAGACTTGGTTGTATCAGCTAGCCTGGACCAGACTGTACGCGTTTGGGATATTTCTGGTGAGCTGCCCAAATTCAGAGAATCTAGTCATGTCTGGCGTGAAACTGCAATTGCTTAAAATAGTGAGGTAGTTGGCTTAAAACAGGAAAAGTATAGAATATTTAGTTCCTATAAAATAGCATCTTTGCTTCTGAGGGTGTTGAATCTGCTATGGTAGATCTCAATGTTAGAAGCATTTTCTATGGAAAGTGGTTACTCTAGAAAATTAAGATTTGTGTAAATTTTAATTTTTTAGTTAATCTCTGTTTTTAGTTAAAATTGATATATTTCTGATTCTTTTTTTTATTTCTGATTCTTAGTCAAAGTTTCCATATATTCAAATAAAAATTTCTTTAGAAAAAGAAATTTTGAGAATAGTTTAATGCAGAGAACCAGGGCTTATATTTTTATTTATTTATTTATTTATTTATTGTCGATTGTGGGGCTTGAACTCTGGGCCTGGGCGCTGTCTCTGAGCTATTCAGCTCAAGGTGAGTGCTCTACCACTTGAGCTACAACGCCACTTCCGATTTTCTGGTGATTAATTGGAGATGAGAGTCTCACGGACTTTCCTACCCAGGCTGACTTTTAACCGTGTTCCTTGGAGCTCACCCTCCTGAGTAGCTAGGATAGGCATGAGCCTCTGGCATCCAGCTGAACCAGGACTTTAAATATTGTTTAGAAATATGGAAGTTCTTTCTGTTAGATTTCTTCTGGAGTACAAAGTATATAGGGTGATTTTTGAGTCTCAAATACTATTTAATAGGCAGACATCTAAGACCAGAGATAGTTTATAGATTGTAAATAATTGGAATAATTCTTCCTTTTATAGTGCACTATACCTATGATTTTGAGATAAAAGATTTAAATATTAAGAACTGTATAGAAGAGATCTAAGTTGCTAATCAGAGAACTTAGAGTCAGAGAAAGGACTGATTATGAGATGGGCGAGCTTTGTGTCAGAATAGAGAAAGAAACTAAATGATGTGGTTCTCTGCCCAGTTACATTTACTAGTCATTTACTGTGTTGTCTCATGTTGCCTTAGAAGTTATTGGATATTGAGTTCTCTGAAAATTCAATGACTTAATTCCAAAATTGTGTTTCATTCTATAGAAGGAAGTTCCCTTATAGGTCTTTGCCTTGTTCTCTGTGTAATAAAGGAGTTACTCTTTTCCATTGATCAACTAAGTTGTGATAGGGCTTTGCCATTGCAGTTTTTCGTCAGACTGACTAGATTTTGGAAGTGCACCCAGATGTGACCAGCCATGCCAACAGGAGGAGCTAGGTACAGACTCTATGAGCCTGTGTCATCCTCACTGCAATCCCAGGGGGCTTAATATTCACTCTTGCAGTAACCTAGCTGTGGCTTCCATGGGTTTTCACTGTGCACACATTCAAAGTACCCTCCTTGTCTCAGGATATAGGAGCCTGATGCAGTAGATCCCAACTTGTATATTGCTCAGCTGATGTTTAGAACAGTCTCATTCCAAATTCTGTGAGAAAATTGAGTGACACAAAAAGTTCCTTGAGTGATTGTTTATCTAATCATTTCTTCCAGGAATGAATACAGCCATTTCTACCCTAAAAGTGTTATTTTGTTTAATATCTAAATAGACAGACACTTTTAGGTATTAAGGTTTAATTCTTTCCCACAAAACTGGATTGAGACAGTATGTTCCTTGCAATCTAACTAGAGCAACTTGGGAAATTTGAAACTTAGCTAATTCTAAAAAATTAGGAGCAAGCAAGTGTTTGGATTCTTGTTTTTGATCATGAAATGTCCAATGAGCCAGGGGCGGTGCTCAAGTGATATTGCACCACCTACCTAGCAAGTGTGAGGTCCCTGTACTGGAAAAGAAGGAAGGAAATTTTGCATAAAAATTAAAGGCCCTAAATCAGAAGAGAAGGAGAGGTGTAACTCCAGGGGGTTTATAATTGCTCTTGAATGTGTGAGTTGCATGGATTACTACTATGTAATAAGATTATAATTGTTACACTTTACAGATGTAATAGAATTTATGCTAACTTGCTGTATTAATATTAATGCTGTTTACCATTTTAAGTGTTTTTCTCTAGTTACAACTCTTGACTTCAAGTAACCCCTTAACCAGAGTGGATGGAAGATGTTTGGGTCTTTTTTTTTTTAATGTTTTGGGTTTTAACCAGGTGGAAGGAGCTTTTGAGTTAACTTTGTTCTAGAAAGCACTATACTGTTCAGTAGGATTCTTTTTTGCTTTGGTTCAAGTAAGTCTCAGCACAGGAAGAAGAATTAATTTACAGATCGGTTGGGGACCAGTGCTAATATTTCTGAGAGAGAAAAGTTAACTTGAATGAGTGACTTTGTTTAGAGAACTTGTGAAAATTCTGATTATTTTGGCTATCTCTTTTGAAAAGAGATATTCTAAGCTCACAGGTAAGCACCAAGAAAATGCAGAAATTCTTATTGAAAAAGCTATCTCTGGATACTTTTTCCCATGAAGATCAAGCCCCTTGGAGCTTACCATGTTTTAAATCTTTTTTGCTAGCCTGGTAAAAACCTCCTTATCTAAAAGGGAATATATTTATAACTAGCAATAGACAAGAAGTTACTTGTTTTAGCTTGAGCTTCCAAGTAAACTGCCAATTAAATTCTTTTAACATGCTTATGCCTTTGCATGTCAAGCCCATGTAATTCAGGCTTACTGTTTTGACCACTAAAAAATTATTAATACGCTGCCAAATCCTGTCTTCATCCCTCTTTTCTTCACTGCTTACCCTGGTTCCCTTTGGGAGTTGTGCATAAACTGGTCCGTTCTGAGAGTGTTCTCTTCTCCCTCTGGATTTGGGTAGCTGCTGTAGAAATTTTCCATCTGTCGTTCAGTCCTACTGAGTGGTTTGTGGAAGGCTCAAATATTTCTCCTCTTAAGTATCTTTTCACTGCCTGTCACTATTCATCTGTGTGTTTTACCCTTTCCTTATTCCTGGATCATTACAGGCAAATGCAAACAAAGGCTTCCACTCTGTCACACAGCTTTCTTTCTAATGTGTTTGTTGAAGCTTATTGGAGGTGAAATTCTTCACAGCTGTCTGTCTTTGTATCTTTCTTTGAGTTTGTTTCATATATCAGACTCATCAGAAAAAATTGACAGATCATATTAAAAGGACAAGAGAAATAAGTGAAAGGAGGCAGCTTTGTGAATAGTGTATTTTTTTTTAAGGCATCAACTTTATTTCTTTATACCTAAAGGCCTAATGCTCATCTTGAATAGAGGACAAGATAATAAAAACTGTTGTGGCTATTTTAAATGTTGCTGATATCTGGGTGCTAAGTTTTACAGAAGAGCTATATTGTAATTTTAAAACAGTAAGTGTAAGTCAGGTGCTGGTGGGTCATACCTGTAATCCTAGCTACTCAAGACACTGAGATCTGAAGATTGTGATTGGAAGCCAGCCTGGGCAGGAAAGTCCGTGAGGCTCTTATCTCCAGTTAACTACAAGAAAATCAGAAATGGAACTCTCCAGTTAACTACCAGAAAATCAGAAATGGAACTGTGCTTAAAGTGGTAGAGTGTGGGCTGGGAAGGTGGCTCAGTGGTAGAGTGCTTGCCTTGCATACATGAGGCCCTGGGTTTGATTCCTCAGCACCACATAAACAGAAAAGGCTGGAAGTGGCGCTGTGGCTCATGTGGTAGAGAGCTAGCCTTGAACTGAAGAGCTGAGGGACAGTACCCAGGCCCTAAATTCAAGCCCCATGACTGACAAAAAAAAAACCTAGGATAAATACAATCATTAAACTTGAGTTTTTTTATTTTTCTCCAAAGACCAATTTTTTAAGCTTGAAGTTATGTATCTTTTATTTTCAATTATAGGCTATAAGTGAAATATATAAATCATACACAATCTTTTAAAAATTTTTTACAAGTACTAGGAAATTTCCTCTTTCACTCACTCCCCCAGATAATTGAAAAGATGGGATTTTAGGAGGTGGAGACATGGTTGAAGTGATGGAAAACTAGCCATGAGCAAAAAGCCAAGCAAGAGTACAAGGCCCTGAGTTTAAACCCCAGACCGCGCGCGCGCGCACGCACGCACGCACGCACGCACGCACGCACACACACACACACACACACAGGATTTTTAGTCCCAATTCTATTTTCATATATATATAGATAGAGAGAGAGAGAAAGTTTTTCTTTTTCTTTTTTTTTTTTACATTTTGATTAGAATACATTAGCTTTACAAAGGGGTATTTCATTGTCTCATTTCTGTACATGTATGCAGTGTATCACAATCATCCTTACTCCCTCTATCCCTCTCCTCTACATGTTTCATTGTTTTCTTTTCATACTTGCAAACATGTTACTTCTACCATATTCATCTTCATTGACTCACTCCCTCTGTTAATCTAGCCCCCCCCCTCCCACTAGTATACCTCTTCCCTATCCCAGAACATTAGATAGTAGTTTTGATACTATAATTTTGGTCTGGCTATAATACAAATAGGTAGCTTTTAAAAAGATGACTCTAGAAAAGCCATGGATGTGAGAGCCTCTTGTAAGGCCCTTATCCTGGTTTCCCATTGAATCCAACTTCCAAGGTTTTGTTGGTATAATACCTATGGTCATATCTATAACTGACCTTGTAAGCAAGAACTTTAAAAGATGTGGTAGTTTTAATTATCCTTTGTATGGTCCAAAAATCAAGATATGGGTTCACTTTTTGCATAACACTTTTTTCATAATTTTTTTTATTTTATTTTTTTTTGTCGGTCATGGGGCTTGAACTCTGGGCCTGGGCATTGTTCCTGAACTCTTCAGCTCAAGCGAGCACTCAGCTGGCTCACACCTGTAATCCTAGCTACTCAGAAGACTGAGATCTGAGGATCACGGTTCAAAGCCAGCCCAGGCAGGAAAGTCTGTGAAACTCTAATCTCCAATAAACCACTAGAAAACCGTAAGTGGAGCTGTGGCTCAAGGGGCAGACCACTCGCCTTGAGTTGAAGAGCTGAGAGATAGTACCCAAGCCCAGAGTTCAAGCCCCATGGCGCACCAAAAAAAATTTAAAAAAGGCGAGCACTCTACCAATTGAACCACAGCGCCACTTCCAGTTTTCTGGTGTTTAATTGGAGATAAGAGTTTCATGGACTTTTCCTGTCCAGACTGGTTTGAACTTCAGTTCTTAGATCTCAGCCTCCTGAGTAGCTAGGATTACAGGTGTGAGTCACTAGCGCTCAGCTGGCTTTTCTTTAGAATCTTTTGATATGTTGGAAAAACATGCTAGTAGATTTCATTAATGAAAGCAAAAATTGAATATAACATCAGCGGCCACATTTCAAGAACACTTAAGGATAAAAAGTGGACATTTGTGTGAATTAGACAACTCAGTGTATAAGTTAGTTGTATCAGGAATTCCCCGTAGTGCATCTGTTGAGTGTTGAAGGCAAAGACAGGGTTGGTAGTTCTTTAGTTTTTGCTTTGGTTTCAATCTCTGCAAATTTCTTTTTCCCTTCTTTTTCATCTGATTATGGTTCATCACCTTATCTTTCTGTACCTCTGGTACTGTACACTTTTTTTAAAAATAACATTATGCTTGCATCTTTTATCCCATTCCTTATTCCTTCAAAGGTTTGAGGAAAAAAAACTTGTCTCCTGGTGCAGTGGAGTCAGATGTAAGAGGAATAACCGGGGTTGATCTGTTTGGAACTACAGATGCGGTGGTGAAACATGTACTAGAGGTACTTATCACTATAGTTTGTGGCTGGGTGATGTACTGTTCATTATTTCATTCCTTCAATAAATGTTTATTAAAAATCGTGTTTGAAGCATGAGGGATAGAGTTGTAGTCAGAGAAATGAAAATTACATATCATCTTGGAGAGTCATCTGACCTTATAAATCCAGTAGGAAGAAAGAAAGAAAGCTGGGCATAGGCTTTATCACTATGCCTATCCCAAAGCAGAACCCAAGCCTCCTGTAAGGGAGTAACCAAAATTACTGAAAAGGAACCTTGTATAAAAAACTTGTTCATAGTATGAAAATAGAAATGCATAGGGGAAAGAAACAATTTTTTTACAAATTGAAAATATAATTCTTACTATTCTTTGCTGAAGCTTTTATTAAGCTCAAAACATATTTGAGCCAGGCGCTTGTGGCTCACACCTGTAATCCTTGCTACTCAGTAGGCTGAGATCTGAGGATCACGATTCAAAGCCAGCCTGGGCAAGAATGTCTATGAGACTCTTATCTCCAATTAACCACCAGAAGACAGGAAGTGGTTTTGTGGCTCATGTGGTATAGCACTCACCTTGAGCTGAAGAGCTCAGGAACAGGGCCCAGGCCCAAAGTTCAAGTCCCACACTGACAAAAAAAGAAAAAAAAAGATTCATCCAAGGCTGGCTATGCTGTCCCAACACTCAAGAGGTAGAAGCAGGAAGATAGTGAATGTAAGCCCAGTCTAGACTATGTAGCAAGACCTTGTTTAAAAAGAAAAGAAAGTGGGATGCCGGTGGCTCACGCCTGTAATCCTAGCTACGCAGGAGCTTAAGATCTGAGGATCACGGTTCAAAGCCAGCCCAGGCAATAAACCACTAGAGAACTGTGGCGCTGTGGCTCAAGTGGTAGAGTGCTCACCTTGAGCTGAAGAGCTGAGGGACAGTGCCCAGGCCCAGAGTTCAAGCCCCACGACTGACCAAAAAAAAAAAAAAAAAATTGAGATTTAGTGAAATTAAGCATATCCATATGTATCTAGTAAGTTGACAGACTAAGATTTTAAATTGAATCTGTTTAAATGAAGGAAGGATGAGAAAATGCAGATACTATATTCAGTGTACATTTTGTAAAAGTAAACTATGTAACTTGAGGGTAGGAACAGGAGAGGAAAATGGGGAAAATGAAGGAAGAGCATAACATTGACCAAGAAGCATTGTATTTATAACCTGACTTATGAAATTGTAACCCCTTTGTACAACTACTTAATCATAATTTTTTTAAAAATTGGGTCTGTTTAACTCCAAAGTTCAGGTAGTTATTATTAGTATGCCATGTTTCTGTCAGAAATATGCCTAAATCAAAACTATGTTATCCTCAATATTTTTATAATATGAGGTACAACTATGTAGTAAGGTATAGGATATCTTAAAATCAGCAGTTCTTGGGCTGGGAAGGTTGCTTAATGGTAGAATGCTTGCCAGCATGAATGAAGCCCTGAGTTTGATTCCTCAGTACCACTTAAACAGAAAAGCCAGAAGTGGCTCTGTGGCCCAAGTAGTAGAGTGCTAGCCTTGAGCAAAAGAAGCACAGAGATAGTACTCAGGCCCTGAGTTTAAGCCCAGGGCTGGCAAAAAAAAAAAAAAATATATATATATATATATATATATATATATATATATATATATGTAAATAAAAGTAACCCAAAGGGAAAAAACCAACAGTTCTTAAACTTTTTGTTCTGAAGATTTCTTCATACACTTAAATTGTACTGCGGACTCCAAAGAGTTTTTGTTTATATGGTTTATATCTATTAATTTTAACCATATTCATAATTCAAACTTTTTGGGGGCTAGGCAACTCCTGAGAATTGAACCCAGAAACTTGCCACACATGCTTTTAGCTGTCAGATAATGTCATTGTGTAATAGCTATGCAGTCCACTGTACTTTTGAGACAGTAATAATGAAAAGACAAACATAGTTTCGGTCTGATTATGAAAATGGTGTTTTTTTGTTTTTGTTTTTTTTTTGGCAGTTGTGGTTCTTGAACTCAGGGCCTGGGCACTGTCCCTGAGCTCATTTGCTCAAGGCTAGCACTCTACCACTTTGAGCCGCAGCCTCAATTCTGGTTTTTGTGTGGTTAATGGGAGATAAGAGTCTCATCGGGACTTTTCTGCCCAGGCTGGCTTTGAATCGAAATCCTTAGAACTCAACCTCCTAAATAGATAGGATTATAGGTGTGAGCCACCAGCTGAAAATGGTTTTGATTTAAAGATTTCCTGAAAGGACCTTAGGATCCTCCAAAGGATATTAGAGCATTCTCAGACAATTTTTACATTAATTTACAAAGTAGTTTTTTTGTTGTTTCTTTTTTTTTTTTTTTTTCCTGTGAGGCTTGACCTCAGGACCTGGGCACTGTCCCTGAACTTTTTCACTCAGAGCTAACACTCTACCACTTCAAGCCACAGTGCCACTTCTGATTTTCTGGTGGTTAATTGGAGATAAGAGTCTCACAAACTTTCCTGCCCAGGCTAGCTTCAAATTGCTATCCTCAGATCTCAGCCTCCTTAGTAGTTAGGATTACAAGTGTGAACCACTGGCACCTGGCACGAAGTAGATCCTTATACTGAGATGTTAATAAGTATTTGGAGAAATAAGATGTAAATATATCTGATATACAGAATATTCTAGAAGTAAATGAAGCTAACTTTTAGTGTAGAAACATTTTGAAATTTTTATGAGAATTTGGAGTGATGATAGATAGGTAGATTGACATGCTAACTCAAATGTTCAAAACCTGATATTGATGGCATATATCTGTAATCCTAGTGCTGAAGAAGCTGAAGCAGAATGATTTCAAGTTTAAGGTCTACGCAGTGGTAGTATCTCACTAGTACTTCCTGGGCCTCCCCCCCCCAAAAAAAATGCAAAACCTTACTGGTTCATAGACACTTGACTCTTTTCACATGAATAGCAAATTATAGACATCTTTATAACCACTAGTATGATTTATTGATTTGCTTTGAGTAGTGTTTATAAAGCTGTTTTATAAGAACTTCTTTATTTTTTAAAATAGGGTCATGATCGTGGGGTAAATTGGGCTGCCTTCCACCCTACTATGCCTCTTATTGTATCTGGAGCAGATGACCGACAAGTGAAGATCTGGCGCATGAATGGTGAGTTAACCTGTGGCATATATCATTTCTAAGACATTGACTATTGGTCAACAAGGTACGGTGGCCAGGTCTTTTGGGCTTTGATATATTTTCTTATTTTGGGTGATTTCTTTTTGAGCCAATCCTAGGAGCACAGATTTTGCATTTTTCCTGTGGTAGTATCCTGATTTTTGAGGAACATGAATGTAGTTAAAAGTAAGAAATAGGACTGGGGGGCTGGGAAAGTAGCTCAGTGGTAGAGCGCTTGCCTTGCATGCATGAGGTCCTGGGTTCAATTCCTCAGCACCACATAAGCAGAAAAAAAGCCAGAAGTGGCGCTGTGGCTGAAGTGGTAGAGCACTTGCCTTGAGCTGAAGGGCTGAGGGACAGCGCCCAGGCCCAGAGTTCAGGCCCAGATTGGCAAAAAAAAAAAAAAGAAGAAGAAGTTGGGCTGGGAAGATAGCTCATTGGTAGAGCGCTTGCCTTGCATGCCTGAGGTCCTGGGTTCAATTCCTCAGCACCACATAAGCAAAAAAAAAAAAGCTGGAAGTAGCGCTGTGGCTCAAGTGGTAGAGTGCTAGCCTTGAGCTGAAGAGCTGAGGGACAGCGCCCAGGCCCAGAGTTCAGGCCCCATGACCGGACCTAAAAAAAAAAAAAAAGTAAGAAGTTATCCATTTATTTGATAAATGATTGAGAACCTACTCTGTATTAGACTTTGCTCAGAGTGCTGTATATATAATAGTGACTAAAATGAATAAAGCTCCTTTCTTAGGAAGTTTGCATTTGCTCTAAAATGACTGCTAGTGACAAATGCTATTACAATAAATATAATGGTAAAAACATAAAGAATGATAGAGGTGTTAGATTCAATAGGAGAGTCAGAATGAAAGAACAGATGTGGAAAAATTAAGAGACTTGGAGCCAGGATGTCATGTGCAAGGTAATCCTTACAGCTCTCTAGTTATTCAGGAAGCTGAGACCTGAGGATCACAATTCAAAGCCAGCCTGGGCAGGAAAGTCTGAGAATGACCTCTAATTAATCACTGGAGCTGGGGCTAAAATATTAGAGCCTATAATCTTTGCAATTTTGAGTCCGAGAACAGGAAAATCTCAGTTTTAGACCCGTCTAGGCAGAAAAGTTTTCAAAACCTTTTCTCAACCCTTAGCTGGGGATATTGTCATGCACCTGTCCTCCCAAGCTATGTTGAAGGCCTAGATTGGGAGGGTTTCAGTGTCAGGCCAGCTCAGGCAGAAAAGTCCTCAAAATGATCTCCTTGGAAGGAAGCTGGATGTAAAGATGCATATTTGTGATCCCAGTGACAATGGAAGTTTAAGACCCAAGCACATGCCTACACAAGAAGCAAGACCCTTTCTTAAAAGCCATATTTTCACTATCCAGTGAAAAATAGCTGGAATGTTGCTTTGTGGTAGCATTCAGCTAGCAAGGCCTATGGCACTAGCTTTGCTCAAGCCTAACAGGTAAAAGGTCCTACTACTGCCACCTTCCCCCCTCAAAACAAAGGTGCTATATGTCTAAATCAATGTTAGGAAATTATAATAACCTGATCTTTTTTTGTCTTTCAGAATCAAAGGCATGGGAGGTTGACACCTGTCGAGGTCATTACAACAATGTGTCTTGTGCTGTCTTCCATCCTCGCCAAGAGTTGATCCTTAGCAATTCTGAGGACAAAAGCATTCGAGTCTGGGATATGTCTAAGCGGTAAGGAAGTTATCCATTTTGTGTGTCCACACCCAGGGAAAAGTCTTTCTCTTTGTTTCTCATCATCTTTAGCATTTTAAGCCACATATTATGAAAACTTAAAGAGACCTAGAGACAGCCAACATTTGTTAATTTTTTGTTAGGAATCATATACTTGTAATGTTTTTTTCTTCTAAATTTAGAAATATTCTTTTCAACTGGACATCATGGGTCATACCTTAGAATCTCAGCTACTCAGGGTTAGGTATATGGTTAAGAATAAGGAGGATCATTATTTGAGACCAGCCTAAAAGCAAGGAGTGCTCCTCCCTCCCCTCCCCCTTACCCTGCACACTCATACCTCAATCCATAGCTTGACATAATTGCGGACACAAGAAATAAAAAATGAAAAGAATACAGTAGGAAATTATGATGAATAAGGGAAATTGACATACCAAAATAATAAGGTCAGTTTAAAGTTGTTCTCTTAGTTCCCTGCTAGAATTTATGATACATACCTTTACTGATGATATTTATTGCCCTTGATTTACTTTTTAGATTATCTTGTAGGCTTACCATTCAATATTACGTACAGTAGACTGGAGGTTTGTTACATTAATATTTTCTCTGTACACCTTATGCTTTCCTAGGACTGGTGTTCAGACCTTCCGTAGGGACCATGATCGTTTCTGGGTCCTAGCTGCTCACCCCAACCTTAACCTCTTTGCAGCAGGTAAAAAAATCACTTCCTCTTGTTTTATTTCTTGTTTTAGTTCAAAGTTTTTAAGGTTTTTAATGTGATTCTTCATTAGCTTTGCCTCTGGTGAATATGGTGGGATAACAAAGAGCAGTAGAATCCTCAGACCCCCTTAGTTGAAGCTCTTCTTTTTTTTTCTTTTACCTCTTAGAATAGTATTTTTTAATACTCTTTATTTACCAAAATCTGTTTTAACAGTAAAGTCCATTCACTGATATATTCCTAGATGCTCCTAAGAGGCTAATACTAGAAAGTCAGAGTTCTCAGACTAAAAATCTAGAAGCTTAAATTTTATTCATTCACTTGGCAAATACATACTGAGTTTCAGGCCTTATTCTGGGTGTTAGTGTTAAAGCCATACATTAAAACATAGTCTCTGTTTTTATGGAGCTTTTAGTCATAGTAGGGGAAATTGACTATAAACAGAAAATATAGTTCTTTTTTCTTTTTCCTTCCCCACCTCCCCCCTTTTTCTGCACATCTCCATCTCATATGGGCCGGCAGTTTGCTCTCCTCCAAATAAACACTTTTCTGCCTGGGGAAAAAAAAGGATAGATAGGTAGATAGGTAGGTAGATAGGTAGATAGGTAGATAGATAGATAGATAGATAGATAGATAGATAGATAGATAGATAGATAGATAGATAGATAGATAGATAGATAGATAGATAGATAGATAATAGGAAAAATGCTTTGAGGAAAAATTAGGCAAAAGTAATGGGATAAAAAAGGAAAAGTGTAGGGCTGGGAAGGTGTCTCAGTGGTAGAGTGCTTGCCTTGCATGCATGAGGCCCTGGGTTCATTTCCTCAGCACCACATAAGAAAAAAGAAAAAAGCCGAAGTGGCGTTGTGGCTCAAGTGGTAGAGCACTAGCCTTGAGCTGAAGAGCTGAGGGACAGTGCCCAGGCCCAGAGTTCAGGTGCCATGACCGAACTGCCCCCCCCCCCAAAAAAAAAGGATAAGTGTGGAGAGTACTACTTTATATTATTCTAAAATTGAGAGAATGAGAAAATAGGAACATCATATGCAAAGAACACATAGTAGGATTACAAAGAGAAGTGCTTTCTATGGTAGGGGTACCCTCTAACATCAGAAAGGCCAAGGGTAGCAAAACAGTAAATAAGAGCCTAGTCATACATAGGAAGTTGGACCACACCAGATTTTGCATTGTCTTATAGGCCAAAGCTAGAACTAGATTTTATTCTGATTGAATTGAGAGCCATTAATAAGTTTTGGGCATTGGAGTAGACTGGCTTGCATGTTGCAAGCAAGCAGTAGGAGTACAAGAATGAAAGGGATCTCTAAAGGATGCATGATGCTAATAGGGAAAGGGCAAAACATTTTAAAATGAATTGTAAAATTAGCAAAATGCTTTTTTCATTGTTGTTTTGCAAGTCCTAGGTCTTGAATGTAGGGCTTGGGCACCGTCCCCAAGCTTTGTTGCTCAAGTCTCATGCTCTACCACTTGAACCACAGCACCACTTTGAGCTTTTTTGGTGATTAATTGAAGATAAAAGTCTAATGGAGGGCTGGGAAGGTGGCTCAGTGGTAGAGCGCTTGCCTTGCATGCCTGAGGCCCTGGGTTCGATTCCTCAGCACCACATAAGCAAAAAGAAAAAAGCTGGAAGTGGCGCTGTGGCTCAAGTGGTAGAGCGCTAGCCTTGAGCTGAAGAGCTGAGGGACAGCGCCCAGGCCCAGAGTTCAGGCCCCACGACTGGACCCAAAAAAAAAAAAAAGTCTAATGGACTCACTTACCTTCCTGAGTTGCTAGGATTATAAGCATGAACCACCAGTGCCTGGCTAGCAAATATTTTTTCATGCTCTTATTTGCCAGGGACTAAAGAAGCATGGAAATTATAATTTCTATCTTTAGAGAACACATGATATAGTGCAAGTGAGAGATTAAATAATTAATAGAACAAGATAATAAATGCTACAGTGAGAGTTTATATGAAGTGTTAGGAGAATACAGAAAGGATGTGTCCAAACATGGTAGTATGATACAGTATTAAGAAAAAATGCAAGCCAGGTGCTGGTGGCTCATGCCTGTAATTCTAACTACTCAGGAGGCTGAGATCAGAGGATTGCAGTTCAAAGCCAGCCGGGGCAGGCAAGTCCATGAGACTCTTATTTCCAGTTAAACACTAGAAAACCGAAAGTGGTGCTGTGGTTTAAGTGGTAGAGTACTCGCTGAAGAGCTCAGAAACAGCACCCAGGCCCAGAATTCAAGCCCCATAACTGACCAAATCAGAAAGAGAGAAAAAGGGGGGGGGGAGGGAAGGAGGGAAGGGAAGGAAAAGAGAGGGAAGGGAGAATGGGAGGAAGGGAGGGGGGGATTTGCCAGGAATTAGTGGCTCATGCCTATAATTCTAGCTACTCAAGAGGTTGAGATCTGTGGCTTTCAGTGCAAAGCCAGCCAGGGCAGGAGAGTCTGAGCAAAAAAGCTCAGGGATAGCACCTTGGCCTTAAGTTCAAGTCCTAAGACTGGACCACTCAAAAAAAATTAAGGGCTTAGAATGTGGTTTGGTGGTGGAGTGCTTCCCTAGCATGCATGAAGCCCTGGGTTCAGTTCCTTAGTACCACATAAATAGAAAATACTGGAAGAAACCAAAAGCTAGGGACAGAAAGCCCTATTCACACATGGTTACTACTGATCATTTCTCATCTCTGGTAACTCCCTATCTTACCTGTCACTTGATTATTCAAAATATCAAGATTCCTGTTCATACTGGAAGAAGATCTTTACTAGCTGTACAACAGACAAAGGCCTTATATCTAAAATATACTTAGCGCTCAAAAACGTTAATCCCCCAAAAACAATCCTCAAAGAAACAATAATCCTATTAATAAGTGAGCTAAAGAATTAAAGAGAGACTTCTCTGAAGAAGAAATAAGAATGACCAAAAGATGCATGAAGAAATGTTCAACATCTCTGGCCATAAAAGAAATGCAAATCAAACAACATTGAGATTCCACCTCACCCTAGTTAGAATGGCCATTATCAAGAAAACTAATAATAACAGATGCTTGCAGGGATGTGGTCAAAAGGGAATGTTACTACACTGTTGGTGGTAGTGTAAACTTGTTCAACCATTCTGGAAAGCAGTATGGAGGTTCCTCAAAAGACTAAACATAGGGGTTGGGAAGGTGGCTCAGTGGTAGAGCACTTGCCTTGCATGCATGAGGCCCTGGGTTCGATTCCTCAGCACCACATAAGCAGACAAAAAAAGCCAGAAGTGGAGCTGTGGCTCAAATGGTAGAGCGCTAGCCTTGAGCTGAAGAGCTGAGGGACAGCGCCCAGGCCCAGAGTTCAGACCCCACGACCGGACCCAAAAAAAAAAGTTTGTCCTCTTAGAAAGGCCCCCTTGGTTTGGTCACAATATGGCACGGCACATGTCATCAGGATGGTAGTAAGTTTGAGAGGAAGAGATCACATGATTAAATAGGAAATCAGAGGATTCATGGGTCAAGCTTGCTCCATTTATAATAACTTAATCTCTGGGAACTAACCAATGTCCTGAGAAAACTATGTTAATCCCTTCCTAAGGTATTCCTGCTGATGACCTAATCACATTCCACTAGTCCTCATAGTTTCAAGATTTACTTAACACCATCATACCAAGGCTTCCAACTCATGAACCTTGAGAGCAAACATCCAAACCATAGCCAGAATCTTGTCACATAATTAGCTTACATAAATAAATTTCATCTTTTAACAGTTGGTGATATAGTTCAAAGCTAAAGCACTTGCCTGTGTACAAGGTCCTGAACATACAAGGTCCTGAGTTCAGTTCCAAGATCAGAATAATAAGATCATTGTCATTCTCATTCTCATCCTCATCCTTGTGTATCTCCTATTTCCAGCTTGCATTTGTGCCTACAGCTGATTCTTTCCCTTTTTTTCCTCAATCTTCTAGGGCATGATGGTGGCATGATTGTGTTTAAGCTAGAACGGGAACGGCCCGCCTATGCTGTTCATGGCAATATGCTGCATTATGTCAAGGACCGATTCTTACGTCAACTGGATTTCAATAGCTCCAAAGATGTAGCTGTGATGCAATTGCGGAGGTAAGTCTGATTTATTTCTCTTTTAAACACCTGTTAGTGACAGGTCTTTTTGCCTTTATTTGACTTTACTACTTAAGGAAACCCATGATATAGTAGGGTGGTAAATCTAAATTGATTATACGGATGATAAGTAAATAAAATAAATCATACAAAAGTTATAGTTTCCTGTAACTCTTGCTTTCCAGCAAAATATACACAACTCTAAGCCAGAATTTTTTTTTTTCCTGGAAACAATTAACTCTGAAGATATGGTAACCTCTGGGATGCTTGGCAAAAGGAATTGTCCTTTTGGAAAAGCCAACTGCATCAGTGCTGAAACATTCATGGTGGCAAACATTGGCATGCAGGTTTGATAACCACCCTATAGCATCACAATGATAAAAAAAAAAAAAGATAGGTTTAGGTAGAGTGCTAACCTTGAGCTGAAGAGCTCAGGGACAGTGCCCAGGCCCAGAGTTCAAGCCCCATGACTGACCAAAAAAAAAAAAAAAAGGTAGTTTATGCAAACAATCCCAGAGATATATTATATCAGCTCTTACTCTGTGGTGCCCACTGCAAGTATCTGTAGGAAATTGTACATAATCTCTCTTACTACAGAGAATGCTGCCCTTACCTTTTGTTGAACAATTTCATTTACACTAGGACTTGCTTTCTTGAACTTTTAAATTACAAAGCATTAAAGGAAGGAGGGGAGAAAATGCAATGGATTTTCATTACTGAATATAAAAATGACAATTATGTAAAGATTGGATATGTAGCAGATAAAGGGGTAATTCCTTTCTTCCTTTTATTCTTAATACCTATCTACCATTTTCTCCTTTTTCTCTCTCTTAATATATGTATATCTAGTGGTTCCAAGTTTCCGGTGTTTAATATGTCTTACAATCCAGCAGAAAATGCAGTCCTACTGTGTACAGTAAGTACCTTATGGAATCTAATTTCTCATTTTCCATTATGCCCTTTCCATTTCTTTTCTTTTCTTTTTTTTTTTTTTTTTTTTTGGGTCTAGTCATGGAGCCTGAACTCTGGGCCTGGGTGCTGTTCCTCCGCTCTTCAGCTCAAGGCTAACGCTCTACCACTTGAGCCACAGCGCCACTTCTGACTTTTTTCTTATGTGGTGCTGAGGAATCGAACCCAGGGCCTCGAGCATGCAAGGCAAGTGCTCTACCACTGAGCCACCTTCCCAGCCCAACCCTTTCCATTTCTTTTTTCTTTTTGGGTCTGGTCGTGGGGCCTGAACTCTGGGCCTGGGCACTGTCCCTCAGCTCTTCAGCACAAGGCTAGCGCTCTACCACTTGAGCTACAGTGCCACTTCCGGCTTTTTTTCTTTTTGCTTATGTGGTGCTGGGGAATCGAACCCAGGGCCTCATGCATGCAAGGCAAGTGCTCTACCACTTAGCCACCTTCCCAGGCCCAACCCTTTCCATTTCTTATGCCCTTAGAGCATATCTAATATCTAATGACTTACTAAGAGTTGTTTATTTTTGTTGGTAATACTGGGGTTTGAACTCAGGGCCTCCCACTTGCTAGGCTGGTACTCTACCGCTTGAGCTGCATCTACAGCCATTTTTGATGGGATGTGTGTATATGTATGTATGTACACACATGCGCCCATGCTGCTGCTAGGGCTTAAACTCAAGGCCTTACGCTCTCACTTAGCTTTTTCCACTCATGGCTAGCTTGCTATCACTTGAGCCATTCTGGATTTTTGCTGGTTAATTGGAGATAAGAATGAGAATTTGTGTACCTGAACTGGCTCAGAACCTTAATTCTCCTACTCTCAGCCTCCCAAATAGACAGGATTACAGGCTTGAGCCACCAAGCAGCTAGCTTATTGGGAGCTATTACTGAATATTTTGCAAGAGCTTATGCTCTTGGCTCAAACTAGGTAGGCTTCAGTAGTCATAAATATTAAGAGTTTGTGAGGCTGGGAATGTGGCTTAGTGGTAGAGTGCTTGCCTCGCATACATGAAGCTCTGGGTTCGATTCCTCAGTACCACATACACAGAAAAAGCCAGAAGTGGTGCTGTGGCTCAAGTGGTAGAGTGCTAGCCTTGAGCAAAAGAAGCTCCGGGAGGGCTGGGAAGGTGGCTCAGTGGTAGAGTGCTTGCCTTGCATGCATGAGGCCCTGGGTTCGATTCCTCAGCACCACATAAGCAAAAAGATAAAAAGCCGGAAGTGGCACTGTGGCTCAAGCAGTAGAGTGCTAGCCTTGAGCTGAAGAGCTGAGGGACAGCACCCAGGCCCAGCAGCAGCTCAGGGACAGTGCCGAGGCCCAGATTTCAAGCACCAGGACTGGCCAAAAAAAAAAAAAGTTTGTGAAATAGATCCTTTCTAAGGCTGATAGCATCTAAACTTAATGAAATCTCAAAATCAGTGACATAGATCACTGAAAATGATTGAAAAGAATGTTTATAACTATTTCCTGTGCAAAAGAGATGTTTAAACTGGTTCCTATCCTTGTGAAAAATAGAACTAAATTTTATTTTTTTTTTGACAGTACTGGGGTTTGAGCCTAGAGCTATAAACTTTCTCAGGAGGTGCTCTTCTTCCTGAGCCATGTCCCCAGCCCAAGACCTGTGCTTTGTAAAGGAATTCTTTTCAGAGTAATTGCCTTCAGAGTCGTCAGAGCCCTTCCCAGTTCTTAGCACATAATTTTGGAGGAAAAATCTAATTTTAAGAATTGTTTTATAATTATTAATTGTTTTACAGAGGAGTTACCATTTCATAAGTCATGTGATGAGTACAATTGAATTCAGGCCCTTGTGACTGCTAGGCTAGACACTCTACCAGTTGAGTCACACCTCAACACCTTTCCCTCTTTTTTTGTGTGCCAGTACTGGGGCTTGAGCTCTGAGCTCTGGCCTTTTCACACAAGGCTGGTACTCTACCACTAGAGCCACATCTTTTCGTCTGGCTTTTTGCTGGTTAATTGGAGATTAGAACTGAAATTTATCTACCCAAATTGGCTGCAATCCTCACATCTCAGTCTCCTGAGTAGCTAGGATTACAAGTATGAATCCCTGTCACCTAGCTTCCTTTTTTGTTATTTTTGAGGTAGGATTTTACTTTTCGCCTACACTGGCCTCAAGCTGTAGTACCCTATCTCTGCTTCCCATGTATCTAAATATCTTTTCTTTGGTGTATTTTTTTTCTTTCAAAAAGACTTTTGATATAACAAGTATACTCAGATGGAACACCAGAATATCAGCTCCTTAAGTCTTTTTTTTTTTTTTTTGGGGGGGGGGGTCCGGTCGTCGGGCCTGAACTCTGGGCCTGGGTGCTGTCCCTCAGGTCTTCAGCTCAAGGCTAGCGCTCTACCACTTGAGCCACAGCACCACTTCCGGCTTTTTTCCTTTTGCTTATGTGGTGCTGAGGAATCGAACCCAGGGCCTCTGGCATGCAAGGCAAGCGCTCTACCACTGAGCCATCTTCCCAGCCCCTTGATTTCATTTTGGATCTTCAGAGGATAAAGAAAATAAAATAACATCAAAGCTGAGTTGTTTAAGAGCCCTACAACTAACTCTTATATGTAACATTCAAATATCCTGTGGGTAAAGGGTGACAAAAGTATATTCTCATATTGTCTGTGGAGTGGAACTGTTTTATCAGAATAAACTGGTATCTTGGGTGCCTCTCATTAACATTTTAATTTCCCATTTTCCTCTACAGAGAGCTAGCAATTTAGAGAATAGTACCTATGATCTGTATACCATCCCCAAAGATGCCGACTCCCAGAATCCTGATGGTAGGTATTCTCTTTGTCTGCCTCACTCTGCTTCCAGCTCTCCTCACCATTATCGTCACTTCTTTTCAAGTAGTTCACATTCCATCCCAAACCATGGCCACATCACTCACATATTTTGGCAGGTATTGCTGACAGTTGCATCAGAGGCAACCATGATGTGAAATATTCATGTTCTGCCTCCATTTTATTACCCCAGCTAGATATATATATTTTATAATTTGGTTATTAGAAACTCTCCATTTTCTCTTTCAGCACAGCATGTTACCCTAGTTTATTGTTAGTTGATATGACTTTCACCCTGGTAGTTTCATTTATTTAAAAATGTAGTTCCAATCTTGCAATGTCTCATCCTGGGACTAGGGATTTATGCTCTCTCATCCATATCCAGATCCGATTTGCTTCCTTTTGCATGTCAAAAAGATGAGGCTGCTAACAGCTCCATACCCCACCTGGGATCCCAGGATCCAGCTGAGACCCCTCCTACATCTTCCATCACCACCATGGCTTGGTGATGTTCTTACTATTAGAACTTGCTGACAGCACATTCTCAGAGTCACTATAACTCTTGCTTCACTTGCTTCAGCTCCTCTCCTCTCAATGCACTTCCTGCAGTAGTCTATAGACATACCAAGTCAGAGGCTTATCCCACAAGGCCCCTTTTACTATATTTTGATATTTTAGAGCCCCTCTACGTAGTACCAGGAATTATTTTGTTAGCTCTCTCCCTTTCTCTCTCTCTCCCTCTCTCCCATTCATTATTGTTAATACTTCTCATGCTATTCCTTTTGTCTTTTTTTCTTTTTCTTTCCTCCTTCCTTTTTGTTTTGTTCCCTGCCCTCCTCTTTCCCTTCCTTTTCCTCTCTGCTCCTTACCAGTGTCTTGTTAGAGACTCAGAATTCTCCTACCTCCTAGGTGCTTGCTTAAATGCCTCTACCACCATGCCCAGATTGAGTCACTTTCTTTTGAATGTGATCATATGAAAGAGAAAACCCATATGTATGTGATAGTCATAAATCAAAGTCTTCTTTATAAATTATGCCATTTCTAACTAAATCTTATGATTTCTTTCTTCCTACTTTGTATCCTTATTTAAAACTCATGTCTTTTCTGATACACTTTTCTTTGATGGGGATAATAACTAAAGCCTAATGATAGAAGGAGGAAAAGAAAGCAGAAGCTAGAGTAGTATGGTTCTGTGGCATCTGAAAATGGAAGTATGGTTTGTAAGTTACCTGACACTGCAGGTGCCTAAAAACTAACAAGGCAAGTCTGGCCATTATGTTCTGGGGCTTGTACCATAGATAAAAGAATATATCAGTGAGTCCTTTACAAGCTTCTCAGAGAATAGTTTCCTCTCCGAAATTCTAATCAGCTGTAGAATTGAGAAACAGTTTATAATTTCCCTTCAGAGTAATAATGGTAGGTTGACATTTAGAGAGCAACAGCTTGGTGATAAGTTCTGCCCAGTATCTCAATGGCCTGTCAAGATTTAGTTGGGAGTGCTCTGACCCACCCTACCCTACTAGGAAGCCTGCATTTGCATGTTAAATGCAGCTGAGCAGCTGCGTCCTGGAGAGGGGGCTCTGTCTCTCTCCAGCTTGTTTAGATAGGAGGTCCTACAACATTGACAGGCTGCTTGCTGGGCCCCAGCTTGGCCAGGGAGGCCTTGCTCGTTAGCTTGATGGAGTATGCTGTCTCCCAAGATGGGCAGCCCTTCTGCCAGTACTTGGTGTTGGCTGAAATGTAGCCACTTGGCCTAGAGAAAAGAGACTTGGCAGGGGTGGGGGTTGGAGTTTGGAGGGGCCTGGTGGGGAAAAGTCACTGAACAATAGCCTCAGGTTATAGCTGAATTAGTTAGAAAGCAGCTGATGGCAAAGCCAAAATGGCAGCCAACAAGACTGGCAGCTCCATGGCACCTGACTCTGTCACCTGCCAGTGGCTCACCACATGCTCCCGCCCTTTGGTTTTGTTCTCCTCAGCCCCTGAAGGGAAACGATCCTCAGGCCTGACAGCCGTTTGGGTTGCTAGGAATCGATTTGCTGTCCTGGATCGGATGCATTCGGTGAGTTAAAACTAAAAATGAAAACCAGTTTGAAGAGTGATTGTGGTGACAGTGGTCTGTGTTTGCAGAATAATGAGCACTGTTTTTTTTTTTACCTACTCTCCCCAAGGAAGCCGTGGTCCTCATGTATTAGCTCTTCCTCTATCCGTAGCTATACCAGTCTCCCTGGGGAAATGACTTTACAGTTGATTTGATTGGGTTGCTAATCAGTGTAGCCCAGGACTTAACATCCAAGCTAAAATCTCTCAACTATAAGAGCCAAAAACAGCATCAGATTTCAAGCAGTGGATCTCCTTCCTTGTCCTACTCCCTCCGTGGTATATGAAATATAATAGAGATAAGTGGAACATATTAAAGATAAGCAAAGCTCTCACAAGAAAATAGGTAACAAAATTTAAGGTCAGGAAATGGTGGGGTTTTTTTTCCCTTTGATTAAGAAACTCAGACTCTTAATTGAATTTCATAGGATGGTATTTTTTGTGGCTTTTTTTTTACTTTTTTTTGTCTTAAAAAAAATGCTAGGCGTTGGTGGCTCACGCCTGTAATCCTAGCTACTCAGGAGGCTGAGATCTGAGGATCACGGTTCAAAGCCAGCCCAGGCAGGAAAGTCTGTGAAACTAACTGGAAGTGGCACTGTGGCTCAAGTGGTAGAGCACTCCCCTGGAGTTGAAGAGCTCAGGGACAGCGCCCAGGCCCAGAGTTCAAGCCCCACGACCAATCAAAAACAAAACAAAAAACAAAAACTAGGTCTTACCCTCAAAGGGATCTTGGAATGATCTACCTAATGTGTGAGTAACTTGGATAGAGGAAAATGAAATTTATTTATTGAAGCTCAAGAACAATTGGTAAGAGACAGTGTCAGTGGCTATCATCATGTATATATATATATATATATATATATATATATATATACACACACACACACATATGCTTCTCTCTCTTTTTTTTTGCACAATTTCATTTTTATCTCCAGTAGCAAAATACAGATCATGAATCAGGAGAGAAACGGCATTCTTGAATAAATAAAACTGCCACAGCCCTTTGAGTTCTCACTGAAGTACACACTTGTGTGTGGTTAGCTCAGAACAGCTGATTTCTTCCAAGGTCTTAGCTGAGAAATACCTCATCTGTCACAGAACACTGAAGCAAGGCAAAGGATCATACAACACTGGCACCTGGGGAACTGCACCCATCTTTTCACTTCCCCACTCCTGCAATCCATACTGCTCCATTCATTCTAAGTCAGGTAGTCATCAGCAAGTGCGTCCCCTCCCCCCCCCTCCCCCCCCCCCCCCCCCCCCCCCCCCCCCCCAAGCATCAGCACAAACTGACAAACATCCTAGGAGATCGACATGGTCGATCCAATGGGGAAAAAAGTGAAGTCATAACCTGCATATATGCTTCTCTTAACTTCATCTTTTGTGTTCATTTCAGCTTCTGATCAAGAATCTGAAGAATGAGATCACCAAAAAGGTGCAGGTGCCCAACTGTGATGAGATCTTCTATGCTGGCACAGGCAACCTCCTGCTTCGAGATGCAGATTCTATCACACTCTTTGATGTACAACAGAAACGGTAATGTGATAGGTGCTTTTATTAGGAGCATATATTGAAGGAGAGTGGGTGAGTGGGTATGTTTATTTAGTAGGAGCTTTTTGCCCCTACAGGAATTTTCCATATAACTTTTATACCTATTACACTATAACACTAAGACTCTATGCATGTTTTTCTCTTTAGTATTCTCGTGTGTGTGTGTGTGTGTGTGTGTGTGTGTGTGTGTGTGTGTGTGTGTGTGTGTGTGTGTGTGTTGGTTTGTCCGTGTTCTTGAACTCAGGGCCTGGACACCATCCCTGAGCTTTTTTGCTCAAAGCTACTTGAGCCACAGTTCTATTTCCAGCTTTTTGATTACTTGGAGATAAGATTTTGACAGACTCTTACCTGCCAAGGATGGCTTTCAACCACAGTCCTTAGATCTCAGCCTCCTGAGTAGCTAGGATTATAGGTGTGAGCTACTTGTGACCGACTATATTTTTGTAATACTTACATGAAAAAAGAATACTGTAGGACTGTACAGTGAGGTACACAGATGAATAGCACAGTTCTTACACTTAAATGATCTTACAGTTTGGTGGTAAAAACAGATATATGAAAGTTCCTAAAAATATAAGGGTTTGCTCTTTGTATGATTAGAGATACATGTAGCTTTCCACATTCTGCTACAATTTGTATGCTTGAAGACAACTACATACACCTCAGCAGGGCCCACCTTGGGGGCTGCAAGTCAGACTGTCACTTGAGAGTATTTCTGTTTTTAAGTTGTCCTTCTTGAAATGACTGTTAAAAGCTAAGATAAATTACATTGCACTTATTTTATATTCTTTGTTGAAATAAAACCTAATTGACTTTGCTTTAAAAAAAAATGTATGTAGCTGGGCACTGGTGGCTCACGCCTGTAATCCTAGCAACTCAGGAGGCTGAGATCTGAGGATCACGGTTCAAAGCCAGCCTAGGCAGAGAAGTCCATGAGACTCTTATCTCTAGTAAACCACCAGAAAACCAAAAGTGGCACTTTGGCTTAAGTGATAGAGCACTCACCTTGAGCTGAAAAGCTGAGGAACAGCGGCCAGCCCCAGAGTTGAAGTCCCACAACCAACCAACAAACAAACAAGTGTGTGTGTGTGTGTGTGTGTGTGTGTGTGTGTGTGTGTGTGTGTGTGTGTGTGTGTGTGTGTGTAGAATGCATAATGTGAGCCAAGTCGGCCAGCCCCAGAGTTCAAGCCCCACAACCAACCAACAAACAAACAAAAGTGTGTGTGTGTACACGAGGGTTTGAAGGAACGGAGAATGCATAATGTGAGCCAAGGCCTGGGAATGTGGCTTAGTGGTAGAGTGCTTGCCTAGCATGCATGAAGCCCTGGGTTCGATTCCTCAGTACTACATAAATACAAAAAGCTGGAAGTAGTGCTGTGGCATAAGTGGTAGAGTGTAGCCTTGAGCAAAAGAAGCTCAGGGACAGTGCCCAGGCCCTGAGTTCAAGCCCTAGGACTAGCAAAAAAAAAAAAAAAAATGTGAGCCAAAATATTTTAAGTAACTGAGTTAATACACAGGAATATTTGGTATTAACGTTGCAAAGTTAGAGAAGAAAAGGGACATAGGTCATAGCTTGAGCCAAGGGAGTCAAGTCCATTCATGTTTGCCCTTCTCTCTGTATCTCAGGACTCTGGCATCTGTGAATATATCTAAGGTGAAATACGTCATCTGGTCAGCAGACATGTCTCATGTAGCACTACTAGCTAAACATGGTAAGTCTTTGTTATATCCACCCTGATTTAGAGCCCACTGTCTCCCCTATTCTCCCTGCCAGTCTACTGCACTCACCCTATCCAACAGAACACTCATGCCCTTTGCCTCTTACAGCCATTGTGATCTGTAACCGCAAACTGGACGCTCTGTGTAATATTCATGAGAACATTCGTGTCAAGAGTGGGGCCTGGGATGAGAGTGGGGTATTTATCTATACCACAAGCAACCACATCAAATATGCTGTCACCACTGGGTAAGTCAATTATCTGGGATACAAAATGGAAGAAGGTGGCTTTTCAAAGGATATAACAAGTCCCTTGCGATTTTCTTCATGAAAAAATCTTTATCTGCCATATATTATGTGCTAGAGGCATCAGCACATTTTCTTTCAACTCTTAAAATTGTGAAATATAATCCAAATGTAAAAAATTGCATCAGCTATAAATATATAGTAACTAAGTTCTGGAGTAACTAACTTCTGTGTAACTTCCACCCAAGTCAAGAAATAGAATAGTTCTGGTATCCAAAAAGTCCTTTGCCAAATGCTCCTCATTGATCCAAACTCTCTCTTTCCATCCAAAACTAACAGCATTCTGCTTTTTGTAGTATTTTTTTCTTGTTTTCTCCATTGTTTTTTTTTTTGTTGTTGTTGTTTTTTTGGGTCCGGTCGTGGGGCCTGAACTCTGGGCACTGTCCCTCAGCTCTTCAGCTCAAGGCTAGTGCTCTACCACTTGAGCCACAGCACCACTTCTGGCTTTTTTCTTTTTGCGTATGTGGTGCTGAGGAATCGAACCCAGGGCCTCGAACATGCAAGGCAAGCTCTCTACCACTGAGCCAACTTCCCAGCCCCTTCTCCATTGTTTTGCCACCCAGTTTTGTCTTATGACTTAGTTTTGTCTGATTTTGGACTTGATATAAGTGAAATCATTTCAAATTTATTATTTTATGTCTTACTCAATATTTTCTTCGTAAGATTCATCCTAGCCAGGTGATGGTGACTCACGCCTGTAATCCTAGCTACTCAGTAGGCTGAGATCTGAGGATCATGGTTCAAAGCCAGCCTGGGCAGGAAAGTCCATGAGACTCTTATCTCCAATTAACCACCAGAAGACAGGAAGTGGTGTTGTAGCTCAAGTGGTATAGCTTGAGCTGAAGAGCTCAGGAACATGGCCCAGGCCCAAAGTTCAAGTCCCACAACTAACAAGAAAAAAAGAAAGATTCATCTAAGGCTGGCTATGCTGTCCCAACACTCAGGAGGTAGAAACAGGAAGGTAGTGAATTTAAGGCCAGTCTAGACTATGTAGTAAGACCTTGTTTAAAAAGAAAAGAAAGTGGGGTGCCTGTAGCTCACACCTGTAATCCTAGCTACTCAGGAGTTGAGATCGGAGGATCATAGATCAAAGCCAGCCCTGGCAGGAAAGTCTGTGAGACTCTTATCTCCAAGAAAACATCAGAAAACCAGAAGTGGCACTGTGGCTCAAGTGGTAGAGTGCTCACCTTGAGCTGAAGAGCTATGGGACAGTGCTCAAGCCTAGAGTTCAAGCCCCATGACTGACCAAAAAAAGTTCATTCATGTTGTACCTCTTATTCATTTCTATTGTTGATAGAAATTCTGTTTTATATCATTTGTCATTCATAGTGTTTTCTGGTGTGTGTGTACATTCATTTCTCTAGAGTATATTCCCTTGGTAACTTGCTAGACCTTTGAATGTGAATGTTTTCACACTTACTAGTTAATGTGAAATTACATTCCAAAATGTTCTTTTGCTGGCATGGCTCCATTGCCTAACAAGTACAAACCTCTTAATTCAAACACTAATACTGACAAAAAAGCAAACAATAAAAGTGACACAGTGATCCCACTAACTGTCATGTCCACCAGTATTGTATACATTTCCTTGCTTGTAATCTTAACAATACCTGGCTTTGGTACACTTTTATTTTTGTCCATCTGGTGGTTTTAAATCTTTACTTTTTTTTAAATTGAGTTTATTTATTTGATTCCTATATATGTATAGGTAACAATCCTGTATCAGAACGATTTCAAATAATACTATCTTTTTGTTTTATAGAATATCTTCTGATTCTTTTTTTGGTGTGGTTAACCTTTTAGCAACAGAAGCTCTCAGTTTTAATGTAGCTAAACTTACTAAACAAATCAGATGTTGTGTCCTGTTTAAAATATTTTTCTTAGCCTCCAAAATCAGAGGTATTCTATTACCTTCTTATAAAAACTTGATAGTTTTGCCTTTTATATAAGACTAATTTCTACCTGAAGTTGATTTTTGTGTATTATATGAGGTATCAAAGATCAATTTGGCATTTTGCACAATTGGCACAGTTGGCCAGCATCATTTATTCAAAAATCCAACCTTTCCCCATTGTTTGTATTTTTGTCATGCATTAATTATATATGCATGTGTTTGTGCGTGTGTGTTTTGTTTTGTTTTGTTTTGTTTTGTTGTCAGTCTCGGGGCCTGAACTCTGGGCCTGGGCACTGTCCCTCAGCTCTTCAGCTCAAGGCTAGCGCTGTACCATTTGAGCCACTGCACCACTACCAGCTTTATTCTGCTTAGGTGGTGCTGAGGAATGGAACTCAGGGCCTCATGCATGCAAGGCAAGCACTCTACTACTGAGCCACCTTCCCAGCCCTATATATATATATATATATATATATATTAATGCAGGATTCTAAATAAATAAGTATTTCAGGTTTTGTTTTCTGTTATGTACTCTGGTCTAATTCTATACTGTCTTAACTACTATTGTAGCTTCATGATAAATCTTCACATCTAATAAAATCGATCCTCTAACCTTTCCCATTTTGTTTACTTCTTGAAGTTTTTAGGCTATTTTCAAATCTTGCTTTCTCATATGTTTTCTTAAGCAATCTTGTGAAATGCCATACAATATAAAACAAGTCATAAAACTTACTGTAATTTCGGTTAGGGTTGCATTAAATCTATGTCAGTTTGTGAGTAGTTATTTTTAATTCTAATCTGTAAAGATTTACTATCTCCTCATTCATTTATGTTTTCTGAAGTGTCTTTCAATGAAGTTTTATAATTTTCTCTATAGAGATGCTGCATTTCTTTGATTAGATTTATTAAGCTCTTGATAGTTGTTTTTTTGTTGTTGGTGGTGGGGTTTTTTTTGGGGGGGGTTGGGGGGGTTCCAGTCGTGGGGCCTGAACTCTGGGCCTGGGCACTGTCCCTCAGCTCTTCAGCTCAAGGCTAGCGCTCTACCACTTGAGCCACAGCACCACTTCTGGCTTTTTTCTTTTTGCCTATGTGTTGCTGAGGAATCGAACCCAGGGCCTCAGGCATGCAAGGCAAGCGCTCTACCACTGAGCCACCTTCCCAGCATGATGATGTTTTTTGTGGGTTGTTTTGTTTTATTTTTGGCCAGTCCTGAAGATTGAACTCAGGGCCTGGACATTGTCCTTGAGCCTGTCTGTGCTCAGGGCTAGTGCTGTACTACTTGAGCCACAGCACCACTTCAGGCTTTTTCTGAGGAATTGAACCCAGGGCTTCATGCATGTTAGGCAAGCACTGTACCATTAAGCCACCTTCCCAGCCCCTTGATAGTTTTTTAAAATATTATTTGTAAATGGGTAGAACCCACTAATTTTCCAATTTTCCTTGATATTTTAGAAAGACAATTAGGTTTTTGTTTCCATTTTTAGACACGTTGCTCTATTTTCGTTCTGGTAATTTAACTATTTTATCTAATTTAATCTATTTTATATAAATAATAATCTGTGGGCAGTGACAGTCTCATTTCACCTTTTACTTACTTGTAAATGTATATGTTTTTCTAGGGTAAACTTAACATACTCACATTATCTAAGTTGGCTATAGCTTATAGATATTCTTTTTTCTTTCTTTGTTTTGGTGGTGGTGGTGGTGGTGGTGGTACTGAGATTTGAACTCAGGAACTTTGAGCTCACTTAGCTGGTGCTCTACCACTTGAGCCATGCCAATAGTTCTTTTTGCTCTGCCATTTTTGGAATAGGGTTTTGCTTTTGACCAGGCCAACCTGAATTTCAGTCTTCCTATTTATGCTTCTTGTTTACTGGAATGATACCTGGAATTACAAGCTTGTATCACTACATGTAAGCCTGACTTTCTTTTTTTGTGTGAGGGTACAGAGGTCTAGGGGAACACCAGGCTTGAACTGAGTACCTCATGTTCTCAAGATGCTTAATGGCTCATGGCTCACTTGAGCCAGACCTCCAATCTGCCATTTTGCTGGTTAATTGGAGATGGAGTATCAAAGACTTGTGCCTGAGAAAGACTTCTGCCTGAGCTGGCTTCTAGCCTTGATCCTCCAAACCTCAGCCTCCTGAGTAGCTGGGATTATAGGCATGAACCAAAGAGCCAGGTGCCAGTAGCTCACACTGAGATCTGGGGATTGAGGCTCAAAGCCAGCCTAGGCAGAAAAGTTTTTGTGAGACTATTATCTCCAATTAACCATGCAAAAAACTGGAAGTGGTGCTGTGGCTCCAGTAGTAGAGTGCTAGCCTTGAGCACAAAGAGGATCAGGGACAGTGCCTAGGCCCTGAGTTCAAACCCCACAACTGAAAAAAAAATTTTTTTAATCAACATTGGCAAATTTTATTTGCGTCCAAGTTTTGTTTTTTGGGTTTTTTTTTTGCTTTTGGGTTTTTTGGGGTTTTTTTTGGTGCAAGTTAGACCATTCTTTAAAGTTACCTGTTTCTTCTGAAGGACCCATAGTGATATCTCCTTTTTAAAAATACTATTATTAGCCTCTCTGTCGCTCTCCGCCCCCCCCTCTGTCTCTTTCTGTCTCTCTCTCTGCTTGGTGCCAGTAGTGGGGTATAAACTCACTTGGCTTTTTCACTTACAGTTATTACCTACCACTTCAGTCTTAATGAGAGAGAGAGAGAGAGAGTGTGTGTGTGTATGTTTGCATGTTTGCTCATACCAAGGCTTAAACTTGGGCTTCCCACTCTTGAGATGTTTCATGCTCATGGCTAAGTGTTCTACCACATGAGCTATATCTCCAGTCCTCTCTCTTTTTCTTAATACCTTCCCAAAAGGCTTACATTTTTATCCAGCTTTTGGCAACTATTGACTCCTTTGTAATTTTTTTCTTCTTCTGTATGTTAATTTATGCTATTGGCTTTATTATTTCCTTCTTCTTACTCTCTTTGATTTAACTTAAAGTATAGTTTTTGAAATATATGCAGGTAGATACCACAGTTTTCAATATTTCTTCTAATACAGCTCATCCATTTACAGCTATAAATTATCAACTACTAGATGAATTATATACCAACAAGTTTTACTCTGTGATCTTCTTATTATCTTTCAGTTAAAAATATCTTCGGCTTTTTATCATTTCTTTATGTGCCAGAACTCTTCATAGCTACTTATCTCTTACTTTTACTTGTAGCTTATAAAGAAGGAGTTATCTTTCCATAATGATCTACCAATTGTATATCTAAATATAGAATTTATCTTTGATGTCTGATTCTTATAGTCACATATGGTGTTCAGTTCCTAGGGTAGTAGCTTTATAAAGATAGATCAAATCATCTAACCTATTGTATAAAAAAACAAACTCAATATGAATATGTCCTTCTGCACTGTTGTTTGTTTGGCATTTTACAGAGAGTTATGAGAAGATAAAAGTCTGTGGCCAGCCAGGCACTGGTGGTTCATTCCTGTAATCCTAGCTACTCAGGAGGCTGAGATCTAAGGATCATGGTTCAAAGCCAGCCTGGGCAGGAAAGTCCATGAGACTCTTTTATCTCCAATTAAACACCAGAAAATCAGAAGTGGTTCTGTGACTCAAGTGATAGAGTGCTAGCCTTGAGCTGAAGAGTTGAGGGACAGTGGCCAGACCCAGAGTTCAAGCCCCACGACTGACCAAAAGAAAATGTCTGTGGCCTTGGCGTGTTCATTTTTCACAGACTAAATTCCACCCTACTTATTGAAAGTTACGTCTCTATCCTCTTCTCTTAGAGACCATGGGATCATCCGGACTCTGGATTTACCCATCTATGTCACACGAGTGAAGGGCAACAATGTGTACTGCCTAGACAGGGAGTGTCGTCCTCGGGTACTCACCATTGATCCTACTGAGTTCAAATTCAAGCTGGCTCTGATCAACAGAAAATATGATGAGGTATGAAGTGAGAAAGCATACTAGGAGCATTAAGAAAGGCAGTGCTTTTTTTTTCCCCTGTAAGTAATGTTTACTCCCTTTCTACCCAACTCAACTGTCCAGGTACTGCACATGGTGAGGAATGCCAAACTAGTAGGCCAGTCTATCATTGCTTATCTCCAGAAGAAGGGCTATCCTGAAGTAGCATTGCATTTTGTTAAAGATGAAAAAACACGCTTTAGTCTGGCCCTGGAGTGTGGAAACATTGAGGTAAGAGAATTATGCTTAGCAGCCCCAGATCCATTAAAGAAGATGAGAGGGTTAGAGTGGCATTGGCACCATTATCCTAGGCTTGATCCGTTAGCTAGAAAAGTGGAATTTGGGATCTTTTTCAGCCGTTAGATCGAACCATCTATTAGTGTTCCTATTTGCCTATTTCTACATCCATTTCTACCATTATTGACATTCTCAGACTGAAGTCAGTAACTTTTAGGATAAACATAGTATGGAATTTTTTAAGGGCTGGGAAGATGGCTCAGTGGTTGAGCGCTTGCCTTGCATGCCTGAGGCCCTGGGTTCGATTATTCAGCACCACATAAGCAAAAAGAAAAAAGCTGGAAGTGGCGCTGTGGCTCAAGTGGTAGAGCGCTAGCCTTGAGCTGAAGAGCTGAGGGACAGTGCCCAGGCCCAGAGATCAGTCCCCACGACCAGACCCAAAAAAAAAAAAAGAAGAAATTTTTTAAATCTCATTATTCCCTTGGCTTTTTTTTGTTGTTGTTGTTAGTCTTGGGGCCTGAACTCTGGGCCTGGGTGCTGTCCCTTAGCTCTTCACCTCAAGGTGAGCACTCTGTCACTTGAGCCACAGCGCCATTTCTGGCTTTCTCTGCTTATGTTGTGCTGAGGAATTGAACCCAGGGCCTCATGCAGGCAAGGCAAGCACTCTACCACTGAACCACCTTCCCAACTCCTTATTTTTATTTTATTTTTTTTGTCAGTTGTGGGGCTTGAACTCAGGGCCTGGGTGCTGTCCCTGAGTCTCTTTGTGCTCAAGGCTAGCACTCTCCCACTTGCCACAGTACCCTTCTGGTTTTTGAAGAGTCTCATGGGGACTTTTCTGCCTGGGCCTGCTTCAAACTTCGATCCTCCTGCATAGTTAGATTATAAGTGTGAGCCATAAGTATCTGGCAGCATTTGATCTCTTTTAGATGAAGGAAAATGTATCAAATGTTGAGACTTGGGCTTTTTTCTGATGAAAGAAAAGGCTTAAGATTATTTTTCCAGTTCTAGACTTAAATCCTTTGTTTATTCTTCTGGCTTTCAGAAAGCTTCTATGGATCTTCAAATCTGAAAGATAGGAAGTATGGTAGCTAGGCAAAACTGTGAAATCAGCAACTACTAGGTGGTTTTATTATAAACTAAACTGAGAGTGAGAATAATGTGATGTAGAAATAGACCAAAAGCTAGGAGTGCTTGGTGTAGTATAGGAAGTTCTTTGAAAAATTTATTTCTTAGGAGACAGACACTTTAACACTGACTGTACAGTCCCTAGTTTTGAGTCATATTATCCCCACAGTATCTCATTAATTCTGACCCTGGGAATTCTTTAGATTGCTCTGGAAGCAGCCAAAGCACTGGATGACAAGAACTGTTGGGAGAAACTGGGAGAAGTGGCCCTGCTACAGGGGAACCATCAGATTGTGGAAATGTGCTATCAGCGCACCAAAAACTTTGACAAACTTTCCTTCCTGTACCTTATTACTGGCAACCTGGAGAAACTTCGCAAGATGATGAAGATTGGTGAGCTACATAAAACTAATTGGAAGTGGAAGGGAGGGCTTTATGGGAAAGCAGGAAGGCAAATAGAAGTGACAGAATTTAACAAAGAAGATCTAACTTGGTATTTCATTGGCTTGTGTGCAGCTGAGATCCGAAAGGACATGAGTGGCCATTATCAGAATGCACTCTACTTGGGTGATGTGTCAGAGCGAGTGCGAATCCTGAAGAACTGTGGGCAGAGTAAGTATTGGGGCCTTAGGAAGTACTTTTTCTTCATGCTGAATTATTCATATATAGTGCTAAGGGGTTGTCCTTAATTATACATGCTTTCCGGGAAAATGACACATTCATACCACATTGAGATTTTTATCAAAGCCAAATGGAAGTGTACATAACCAGACTGTTTAGTCTAACCAACACCTTTAGGAAAATTGCAGGGTAGTTAAAGTTCTGGAGCAGATACTCTACTAATGCGATTAGTCAGCTGTATTACAGTTTTATTCCTTTACTTCGTTTGGAGTTTTTTGTTGTTTTTTTTTTTTTGGTCATGGGGCCTGAACTCTGGGCCTGGGCGCTGTCCCTCAGCTCTTCAGCTCAAAGCTAGCACTCTACAACTTGAGCCACAGTGCTACTTCTGGCTTTTTTGCTTATGTGATGCTGAGGAATCCAACCCAGAGCTTCATGCATGCAAGGTAAGCACTCTACCTACCACTGAGCCACCTTCCCAGCCCCCAGTTTGGAGATTTTATTCGTTTGTTTATTTATTTATTTTTTGGGTCTAGTCGTGGGGCCTGAACTCTGGGCCTGGGCGCTGTCCCTCAGCTCTTCAGCTCAAGGCTAGCGCTCTACCACTTGAGCCACAGCACCACTTCCGGCTTTTTTCCTTTTGCTTATGTGGTGCTGAGGAATCGAACCCAGGGCCTCATGCATGCAAGTCATGTGTTCAACCACTGAGCCACCTTCCCAGCCCTGGAGATTTTATTCTTTATTTATTCATGTGTTCACTTAAGGATGACTTTGACTGTTTTGAGAACTTTCTCTGGATAGATGTATACATACAAACATATGAGTATACACATACATTTTATATATATATATATGCATATATATATATATATATATACCATGTATATATAACCTACATATATAATATATATAAAGCCTGTATATGTAAGTATATACATATATATGTGTGTGTATATATATATATATATCCTTTAAATATATATGATGCATTAGTGGCCAAGCGCCAGTGGCTCACATCTATAATCCTAGCTATTTAGGAGGCTGAGATCTGAGGATCACAATTCGAAGCCAGCTTGGGCAAGAAAGTTCATGAGACTTATCTACCCAATTAAACACCCAAAATATACAGAAATGGAGCTGTGGCTCAAGTGGTAGAGCTCTAGCTTTGAGCAACAAAGCTCACAGACAGCACCTAAGCCCTGAGTTCAAATCCCAGGACTGGCACCAAAAAAAAAAAAAAGCATTAAGAAATAACAGTAGAGGGGTGAACAGTGGTCAGATTGTTTTGAAGGTTAGAACCAAAATGGCTTTTTTTTAGGTGTTAAATAGGGTTTAAACTCAGAGCTTTGAGCTTTTGCTAAGCAGGTGCTCTACCACTTAAGCCACCTTCCCAGCCCTTTTGCATTGGTTATGTTCGAAATAGGGTCTTAATCATAGCAGCCTAGACTACAGTATTCCTTTCTGTGCTTCCATAGGCATGCACTATAGTACCCAGGCATTGGTTAAAATAGGATCTCATGAACTTAGGCTCTTAACCTGGAAAGGTGGCTCAGTGGTAGAGTACTTGCCTTGCATGCATGATGCCCTGAGTTCAATTCCGCAGCACCACATAAGCAGAAAAAGCCAGAAGTGGCATTCTGGCTCAAGTGGTAGAGTGCTAGACTTGAGCTGAAAAGCTGATGGACAGCACCCATTCCCAAAGTTCAGGCCCCACAACTGACAAAAAAAAAATCATGAACTTGCTCAGGCTGATCTTGTTCCTCAAGCCTCTTATCTATGCCTCTCAAATAGCTAGGATTACAGGCTTTAGCCATCTCACCTTGCACCAACCAATATGTCTTACTAAAGTGGTAGGTAGATATAGGATGAACCATAGAAGAGTCAGAAATGATTCTAAGGATCTTAAGGAAATTATATTAGTTATGAGTTAATTGCTTTATAACAAATACCCCAGAACTTAATACAATTTGAGTATTCCTAATTCAAAAGTCTGAAATGCTCCAAAATCTAAGCAGTGTCCCTGAACTTTTTCACTCAAGGCTAGCACTCTACCAATGGAGCCACACTTTCACAAGCATGAACCAATAATGCCTGGCCTAAGACTTCTTGAATGTCAACCTCAAAAGTCAGAAACATTTCTAATTTTGGGTTTCAAATTTTTCAGATAGGGGCTGGGAAGGTGGCTCAGTGGTAGAGCACTTGCCTTGCATGCCTGAGGCCCTGGGTTCAATTCTCCAGCACCACATAAGCAAAAAGAAAAAAGCCAGAAGTGTTGCTGTGGCTCAAGTGGTAGAGTGCTAGCCTTGAGCTGAAGAGCTGAGGGACAGTGTCCAGGCCCAGAGTTCAGGCCCCACAACTGGACCCCAAAAAAAAATTTTTTTTTCAGATAAGAGATATTCAACCAGGAAAGTCAGTGTAAATGTTTCACAACCCCTTTCCCCCAAAAAAACCCTCCAAAATCTGAAACAATTCTGGTCCCATTTCAAATTGACTCTTCAACTTTTAGTCAAAACTATAACCAACATTTTTTTTTTTTTCTGTCGTGGGCTTGAACTGTGGGCCTGGGCACTGTACCAGAGCTCTTCAGCTCAAGGTGAGTGCTCTACCACTTAAGCCACAGTGCCACTTCCTGGTTTCTGGTGGATAATTGGAGATAGGAGTTTCATGGACTTTTCTGCCCAGGCTAGCTTTGAACCATGATCCTCAGATCTCAGCCCCCTGAGTAGCTAGGATTACAGGTGTGACACACTGGCACTCGGCTTATAACCAATATTTATTACCTCACATTTGGGATATGGCTTACTTAGCTCTGGCTTGGTGTCTGTCATAAGGGTGACAGAGGTATTGGCCTGGGCTGCTGACATATCAAGAATCTGCTTCCAGCCAGGCACTAGTGGCTCACGCCTGTAATCCTAGCTACTCAGGAGGCTAAGATCAGAGGATCACAGTTCAAAGACAGCCTGGGAAGGAAAGTGTGAAACTCTTAGCTCCAGTTAACCATCAGAAAACCAGAAGTGGCTCTGTAGCCAAAGTGGTAAAGCACTAGTCTTGAACAAAATTGCTCAGGGAACAGTGCCCAGGCTTGAACTCAGAGTTCAAGCCCCATGACCAACTAAAAAAAAGAGGGAAAAAAAAGAATCTGCTTCCATATTCACTCTTATGGTGTCAGCATTCCTCAGGACTTTGCTGTCTGTTGTTTGGGAGACCGAATTGTCTTGCTATAATGATTTCTTCCTTTTGCAGTTTACAACACGGCAGCTGGTTTCCCTCAGAGAAAGCCTAAAGGGCACCTAAGATAGAAGTCACAGTCATAAGCTAGTCTTGTACGTGATACTCCATCATTCTTGCTGTGTTCTATGAGAAGCTAGTTAACACGTCTAGTTCACACTTGAGGGAAGATACTATGGATACTAGGAAGCAGGATGGCTATGCTTACCTCCTACAAGAGTCTCTCACAACAGCATTCACTTGATATATTCCTATACCAAAATCTCTTTTCTCTGCAGAATCCCTGGCCTATCTCACAGCTGCTACCCATGGCTTAGATGAAGAAGCTGAAAGCCTGAAGGAGACATTTGATCCAGAGAAGGAGACAGTGAGTATTTATATATATTAGTATCTCTTATTACAGGTCTTGGAACAATGTAAAATTATAAATTACATGGTAGAGTAGATAAGGTTGATGGAGCAGTTTGTATTTATAGAATTATCACAATGGAATATCCCTTGTACAACAAATGTAGCCCATAAAGAAGTCTTTACAAAAAACATGACAAGCCGGGCGCCAGTGGTTCACGCCGGTAATCCTAGCTATTCAGGAGGCTGAGATCTGAGAATCGCGGTTCAAAGCCAGCCCAGGCAGGAAAGTCCGTGAGACTCTTATCTCCAATAAACCACTAGAAAACCAGAAATGGTGCTGTGCTCAAGCGGTAGAGCGCTCGCCTTGAGCTGAAGAGCACAAGGACAGCGCCCAAGCCCAGAGTTCAAGCCCATGACCAAAAAAACAGGACAGAGTTTACTCTCCCACTGGTTATAAGAGTGAGGTTGAAGCTGGGTGCTGGTGGCTCAATGCCTGTAGTCCTAGCTGCTCAGGAGGCTGAGATCTAAGGATCACAGTTTGAAGCCAGCCTGGGAAAGTCTGTGAGACTCTTATCTCCAATTAACCACCAGGAAACCGAAAGTGGTGTTATAGCTCAAACTGGTAAAACGCTAGCCTCAAGCAGAAAAGCTCAAGGACAGCACCCAGCCCTGAATTCAAGCCCCACAACCAAAAGAAAAAAAAGAATGAGGCTGAGAAATAAATGAGCACAGTTCAGGTACAGTGGCTCACTACTGTAATCACAACTACCCAGGAAGTAGAGATCAGGAGAATTACAGCTGTCAAACATAGGTAACATGACCCCATTTCAACTAAAATGCCAGACATGGTTGTATGCACCTATGGTCCCAACTATACGGGAGGCTATAAGTTGGTAGATCCAGGTCCAGGCCTGCCCCAGGCAAAAGCACAAAACCCTATTTTTATTTATTTATTTTATTTTATTATTTTTTTGCCATTCCTGGGGCTTGAACTCAGGACCTAGGCACTGTCCCTGAGCCTCAAGGCTAGCACTCTACCACTTGAGCCACAGCGCCACCTCCGGCTTTTTCTATTTATGTGTTACTGAAGACTCCAACCCAAGGCTTCATGCAAGCTAGGCAAGCACTCTACCACTAAGCCACATTCCCAGCTGAAGACCCTATTTTTAAAATAACCAAAAACCAAAAATACACCAGGTAGTAGAGTACTTGAAGTACAAGCCTCTGAATTCAGACTCCAGTATCACCAAAAGAAAACAAACCGGGCGCCGGTGGCTCATGCCTGTACTACTAGCTACTCATGAGGCTGAGATCTGAGGATCACAGTTTGAAGCCAGCTCAGGCAAGTCTGTGGAACCTGAGTTCAAGCCCCAAGATGGGCATACACACACACACAAATGAGTTCAAAGGAGGTTTCATAACCTTTCCTACATAAATCCAAGAGTTGTTTGCATTTTTTTTATTTTTATTTTTTTGTCAGTCATGGGACCTGAACTCTGTGTCTAGGTGCTGTCCCTCAGCTCTTCAGCTCAAGGCTAGTAGCACTCTACCACTTGAGCCACAGCACCACTTCCAGCTTTTTCTGCTTATCTGGTGCTAAGAATCGAACCCAGGGCCTCATACATGCAAGGCAAGCACTCTACCACTGAGCCACCTTCAAAGCCCGATTGTCTTTTCTTTCACCTCTTAGATCCCAGACATTGACCCTAATGCCAAGCTGCTCCAACCACCTGCACCGATTATGCCATTAGATACCAATTGGCCCTTATTAACTGTGTCCAAAGGATTCTTTGAAGGTTCTATTGCCAGCAAGGGTAAGTGCCCATTTCTCCCATGGCATTTTGTTATTTGTTTTGTGAAGAACAGTTTCAGAAAGTTCTATTTATTAGTTTCATCTATCCTATTCTGCAATGCCAGAGCAGGTATAGCTCTGCAATGCCAGTCATAGTTAGGGTGCAGCCTTAAAAAACAAAGGATTTTTGAGGTCAATAAAGAAAATTTAGAAAATGGGGAAACAGAGGAACACCTCTATTTCCACTAATAACATTTGTCAACATTTTGGTGTATTTCTGTAGGATTTGCCAAATATGTGGTCATATCCTCTCTTCAATATTTTGTCACTCATGACAGTCTTAATTCTGCAGTGCACATGTGCACACATATGTACTACCACTCTCAGTGCTACCCTTGCCCTTCTGTTTCTCTGGGATGCCTCTTTGTTCACTCCATCTAAGTAAGAAAATTAGACAGACTGGGCATTTGTGTCCAACACTACTCTTTCCTCTCTTTTCTGTCTGTTCCCTGTCCTCATGCACATACTGTAATGGTAGTAACATAGGAGAGATCTCAGGAAAAAATTTCAAGAATGGAAAACCAAAGAGGGGTAAGTAAAAAATTATTTAAGAGCTTCTTTTTGGTAGTAGGAAATCCAATTATCTAACTCTCTCCAGCTGTTCCCCCGCCCTTGTTTTTTGTGTATAGAGTGCTAAGGATAGACCAGACAAGCACTGTGCCAAGCCGTTATTTAACTCTCTTGTACTTGCATTTTTTATGAAAATGTTGCAAATTAGTATAACATAGTCCACAACAATAGAGAACACATAAAAATAGCAAGTGGGCAGAACCTGGGCAATTGTTCTTTTTTTGGTTTTTTTGGGGGGGTCCAGTCATGGGGCCTGAACTCTGGGCGCTGTCCCTCAGCTCTTCAGCTCAAGGCTGGCACTCTACCACTTGAGCCACAGTGCCACTTCAGGCTTTTCTTTTTCTTTTTGTTTATGTGGTGCTGAGGAATTGAACCCAGGGCCTCATGCATGCAAGGCAAGCGCTCTACCTATGAGCCACCTTCCCAGCCCATGGGCAATTGCCTTTGAAAGGTTGCAGCTTGGGCTGGGAAGGTGGCTCAGTGGTAGAGCGCTTGCCTTGCATGCCTGAGGCCCTGGGTTTGATTCCTCAGCACCACATAAGCAAAAAAGAAAAAAGCCAGAAGTGGCGCTGTGGTTCAAGTGGTAGGGCGCTAGCCTTGAGCTGAAGAGCTGAGGGACAGCGCCCAGGCCCAGAGTTCAGTCCCCATGACCGGACCCCAAAAAAAAAAAAAAAGGTTGCAGCTTGCTTGCAAAGAACACTCTATCTCAAACTTGCCAGAATATAAGCAATTCTACCTGTTCTTCCCTCTGTAGGAAAGGGAGGAGCACTGGCTGCCGACATTGACATTGACACCGTTGGTACTGAGGGCTGGGGAGAGGATGCAGAACTACAGCTGGATGAAGGTAAGAGGACAGTTTTAAAACTATTCTGGGGAAAATGGACTTTGTGGATTGAGACTAGTTATAAAGTAGTCTGTGGACTTCCAAACTATGGAACCAGCTAAGTTTCCAACATTTTGCTTTGCTTTCCTTAGCTAAGAGTATGCCACCGTACAAATCTATTTTGAGCCTGGATTTTCCTTTACAGATGGATTTGTGGAGGCTCCAGAAGGTTTGGGGGATGATTCTCTTGGCAAGGGGCAGGAAGAAGGAGGTGGCTGGGATGTAGAAGAAGATCTGGAGCTTCCCCCTGAACTGGTATGTGAAATTCCTACCCTTGGACTGTTGTCTTCTAATCTTTCTGTAGAAACCAGATACCAGTAACTTCATTTCCCCCTACACACACCTATCATGAGGTCTCCAAAAGAAAGGGATCTAGACCCTTTTCCTAATCTGATGTTTATCTCCCACTTGAAGAAAGGAGTGAAATAATTAGGATTGTACCCTCAGAAGCTTATGAAAAAGCAGCGGGCTTTTAAAACCGAAAATGGAGCTTTTAGTATGTTACTTAGTCACTGGGGGGGCAGCTTCACTTACAGAAGTCTTTTCTCATCACCTTTTTCCCTAGTAGAAGTAGAATTTGTTAGAATAAAGTAATTGTAATTGAATACCTTTTTTTGGGGGGAGGGTGCAGTATGGGGCTTGAACTTTTTTGTCTTTTTTGTTTTTTTTTTTTTGGTACTGGGGATCGAACCCAGGAGGTTGCACTTGCTAGGCAAGCGCATTGCCACTGAGCTACATCCCAGCCCCTGGGGCTTGAACTTAAGGCTGGCACTCTGCCACTTGAGCTACATCTCTATTTAGCATTTGTTTTGTTGTTGTTAATTGGCGATAAGAGTCTGATGGACTTTGTTGCTCAAGCTTCTTTGATCTGAAATCCTCAGATCTCAGCCTCCTGGGTAGCTAGGATAACAGGCATGAGTCACCAGCCCCTAGCCTTAAATGGCTTTTAAAAATGACTTAATAGTCTTCTTCCCTGTAGGATGTATCTCCAGGAGCAGCTGGTGGGGCTGAAGATGGGTTCTTTGTGCCCCCAACCAAAGGGACAAGTCCAACTCAAGTAAGCAGAATCAGTGTTTCTGAGCTGGCTAATATTTGATTAATTAGTGTATAAAATGTATTGGATACTTGTCTGCTAATAGATCTGAAGGAGGATAATCTGCAAAGAGAAAGACAAAAGTTCACTTGGCTTGGGTTTTCTGTTTGTCATTAGATCTGGTGCAATAACTCACAACTTCCAGTCGATCACATCCTGGCAGGCTCTTTTGAAACAGCCATGCGGGTAAGTCTTCTTAAAGTAATCTTGGTGCTTCTTCTTGAGTATGCCTAGCCCCAAGGCTTGAGGGAGATGGTTGACTCATCTTTTTAGCCAAGTAGCAGATTATGATTTATATGGAAGCTGTTGTTCTTGTTTAAGGGACTTGCTTCATAAGGCCTTCCTCTTCCCTGCACTCTTAGCCTAGTAATCTTTTAAAACAGATCTTTTTAGGCATTTCCACTTATTGGTAGCCTTATTTATGGCTCACAATAGTGAAATTAGCACTTCTTTCTGAAGCAGATGTATAGATGTATGTTTTAAACACCAAGACATGTTTGTTTGTTTGTTTGGTTGGTTTTTGTTGTTGGTCGTGGGGCTTGAACTCTGGGCTTGGGTGCTGTCCCTGCACTCTTCAGCTCAAGGCAAGAACACTACTGCTTAAACCACAGTGCTACTTCGGTTTTCTAGTGGTTTATTGGAGATAAGAGTCACACAGACTTTCCTGCCTGGGCTGGCTTTGAACTGCGATCCTCAGATCTCAGCCTCCTGAGTAGCTAGGATTACAGGCATGAGCCACCAACACCCAGTCAAGACATGTATTTTATTTTATTTTTTTTTTTTGGGGTCCGGTCGTGGGGCCTGAACTCTGGGCCTGGGTGCTGTCCCTCAGCTCTTAAGCTCAAGGCTAGCACTCTACCACTTGAGCCACAGTGCCACTTCCGGCTTTCTTTTTTCTGTTTATGTGGTGCTGAGGAATCGAACCCAGGGCCTCATGCATGCAAGGCAAGCGTTCTACCACTGAGCCACTTTCCCAGCCCCAAGACATGTATTTTAATAACTAAAACAATCACTGACGTTTATTTAGTGTCACTGTGTTCCAAGCACTATCCTAAAATATGTTGTTAAATGAAATAGGTCCTATGATGAAATATATTTTATTAATGATGAAACACTACAGAGAAAAATACCTTACCAAGGTCAGTTAGTTTTAATTGGAAGGGTCAGGTTCCTTATATTTCTTTTTACCTGTGTTCCAGCTCCTTCATGACCAGGTAGGAGTAGTACAGTTTGGCCCCTACAAGCAACTGTTCCTGCAGACATATGCTCGAGGCCGCACTACCTATCAGGCTCTGCCCTGCTTGCCCTCCATGTATAACTACCCTAATCGAAATTGGTAAGTTCTCTTGCTCCTTTGTTTCTATTATCTCCAAGTTGGGCTAGATATTTCAAATAGACATCTCATTGTCACAATCAGAATTGTCCTAGAGACAGGCGCTGGTGGCTCACACCTGTAATCCTAGCTACTCAGGAGGCTGAGAGCTGAAGATCATGGTTCAAAGCCAGCCCGGGCAGGAAAGTCTGTGAGACTCTTATCTCCAATAAGCCACTCGAAAAACCGGAAGTGGCACTGTGGTAGAGCGCTCGCCTTGAGCTGAAGAGTACAGGGACAGAGCCCAAGCCCAGAGTTCAAGCCCCACAACCAACCAAAAAAAAAAAAAAAGAATTATCCTAGAACTACAGTCTACTTTCTATTCCCCAGGTACTTTCACAATAGGGTGTTGTTGATTATGTCTTCCAGAAAAAAAATGGTAAGTCCTGGTTGTCTACTCACTGTCCTGTTTTCTTCCTATTTTTCCATTTCCAGGAAGGATGCAGGGCTGAAGAACAGTGTGCCAGCTGTGGGCCTGAAGCTTAATGACCTCATCCAACGGTTGCAGCTGTGCTATCAGCTCACCACAGTTGGCAAGTTTGAGGAGGCTGTAGAAAAGTTCCGTTCTATCCTACTCAGTGTGCCACTTCTTGTTGTTGACAATAAACAGGAGATTGCAGAGGTAGGAGAGGTTTAGCCACTTGTCCCAATCCTAGTCATCCCTACATTCTTACAATGGCTTTCTTATTCCACCTCTCCAGGCCCAGCAGCTCATCACCATTTGCCGTGAATATATTGTGGGTTTGTCAATGGAGATCGAAAGGAAGAAGCTGCCCAAAGAGACTTTAGAACAGCAGAAGCGCATATGTGAGGTAAGATCTGTCGAGCTCTTGAGCACTACAGAAGCATTCTCCCCTTTACCTTCCATTAGGTCTGTATTCTTTGGTTCCAAACTCAGATCTGGCTTTGGGGAGGAAGAGACATTTGGGTTCAGGTCTGTTAAGTGAGGCTACATTTCCCTACCCTTTCTTCATTTTGTCAGTCATCTGTGTTTTAAAGCCAGTCCTGTTGGCGTTTTGTTTTGTATATGTAAACCAGTCCACCACAATGTTTTTATTATTTGAAAGATCCAACAAAGCTAGAAAGGCAAGGCCAACTATGACCACAATTTTAGTGACTTTGAGAGGGTAAGAGAGGTCTTTGGGAGTAAAGACAAGTTTTTTTTAGACATTTTGATTGTGAAAAAAGACATTAACTTTATTTATGTTCTCTTTCTATCCACCAGATGGCAGCCTATTTCACACACTCAAACCTGCAGCCTGTTCACATGATCCTGGTGCTGCGAACAGCCCTCAACCTCTTTTTTAAACTCAAGAACTTCAAGACAGCAGCCACTTTTGCTCGACGCCTCCTGGAACTTGGGCCCAAGCCTGAAGTGGCTCAACAGGTAGATGAGAACTCCTTCAGTGACCACATAGGTTAACCAGATCTGGTCTTATGTACAAGTATCAGAAGACCACGATTGTTGCCTCTGAAATAAAACAATGTATAACAATATTCAATCAAACAGAATGCCACTCTTTATCTAATTACATATAGGTGCTTTTTTTGCTCCTATTATTTTTGTACCAAAGTAATAATTTATTCAGATATGTCATTAGTGTGAGCATGACCTATAATTTAGAACAGCTTCCCTGCATCTGAAATAATCTAAATCTTGTTTGTAACCTCCAGATGTCCTATCTTGACCAATTCTACTTTATATGAATAGTCCATTATTTATGCCTTCCAAAAATATTCTTCTTGGGCAGTGGAAACCTGTTTTAATCCTATGACCTGAGCCTGATAATCTCTAGATTTGGTACAACATTATAGGGTCTAGCTCTATAGAGCCACATTAGCAGGAAATCTTTGCTTCTTTTTTCTTTTTTTGGGTCTGGTTGTGGGGCCTGAACTCTGGGCCTGGGTGCTGTCCCTCAGCTCTTCAGCTCAAGGCTAGCGCTCTAACCACTTAAGCCACAGCACCACTTCTGGCTTTTTTCTTTTTGCTTATGTGGTGCTGAGGAATCGAACCCAGGGCCTCGAGCATGCAAGGCAAGTGCTCTACCACTGAGCCACCTTCCCAGTCCCTTCTTTTTTCTTATTTTATTTATTTAGGTTGTTTTTGTTTTTTGTTTTGAGACATAGTTTTACTCCATCTTAAACTCATAATCCTCTAGCCTCAACCCTCCTGGGTATTGGAATTATACTTATGTACCACCATGCCTACCAGGAGAAGATAAAATCTTGATAACATAGGAATGGCAGTGTTTGATTCTTCATATACATCCAGTGTAGAGATTGGGGCCTATTTCACGTAGTACAGTTGCTCTTGAATCACAGGAGTTGTTGTATGCCACTTTCTGTCCTCTTAAATAAAACATTCCTTCTCTCTCTCAGACCCGAAAAATCCTGTCTGCCTGTGAGAAGAACCCTACAGATGCTTACCAGCTCAATTATGACATGCACAACCCCTTTGACATTTGTGCTGCATCCTATCGGCCCATCTACCGAGGAAAACCAGTGGAGAAATGTCCACTCAGTGGGGCTTGCTATTCCCCTGAGTTCAAGGGTCAAATCTGCAGGGTCACTACAGTAAGTACTATATGAAAAACGCAACTAGGTTATTGAAGGAAAGGGAAAGAAAAAGAAGCATGGTGGTTATTTTCTTCCCTAGTATTGGCACCAGCTTCTTCGAACATTGACATTAAAGAGAGCTCGAACCTTTTCCATTTCTCAGTAACATACATCCATCTATTGTGTTTACTGAGGGGTATAGGGAATAAGCTTTCTAGGGTTCTTAGCCTCACAAGTCTCTGAGTTGATCCTTTGTTTCCTCTTCTACAGGTGACAGAGATTGGTAAAGATGTGATTGGTCTGAGAATCAGTCCTCTTCAGTTTCGCTAAGAACCCCATTTATGCATGTCTCTATCCTCCTAACCTGACCTTCCCTTCTGATTGATATTATGTTCTCTCTAAAGTTAATGTCCTGGGCTGGGAAGGTGGCTCAGTGGTAGAGTGCTTGCCTTGCATGCTCGAGGCCCTGGGTTAGATTCCTCGGCACCACATAAGCAAAAAAAGAAAAAAAAACTGGAAGTGGTGCTGTGGCTCAAGTGGTAGAGCGCTAGCCTTGAGCTGAAGAGCTGAGGGACAGCGCCCAGGCCCAGAGTTCAGGCCCTATG